GATCGCTTCTGACTCCAGTGTCCACATCATTAATGAAGATGTTGAACAGTATGGGTCCAAGGACAGAGCCTTGGGGGACCCCACTGGTCACAGGACACCACGATGAGTGACTTCCATCGATTACTACCCTCTGGGTCCGACCCCGGAGCCAATTTTCCAGCCAGTGGATCGTGGAGGACCCAAGGCGACAATTGGCCAGTTTCTCCAAGAGGCGATCATGGGACACCAGATCGAAGGCTTTTTTGAAGTCAAGATATATGACATCAATCTCTTCTCCCTTGTCCAGGTGATAGGTCACCTGGTCGTAGAAGGAAATGAGATTGGTCAAGCAAGACCTACCCGCAACAAACCCATGCTGGCTATCCCTTAAGATGTTGGCGTTGGCCAGTCCATTAAGGATGGCCTCTTTAATAAACTTTTCTAAGATCTTCCCCGGGATATAAGTCGGCTGATGGGCCTATAGTTAGCTGGATCCACTTTCCTCCCTTTCTTGAAGATAGGCACCACATTGGCCTTCTTCTAGTCTTCGGGCACTTCACCAGAGCGCCAAGAGTTTTCAAAGATCCGTGCTAGAGGCTGGGCTATGATGCTCGCCAGCTCCTTGAGTACCCTGGGGTGAAGATTGTCAGGGCCGGCTGACTTGAAGGTATCCAGCTTCTCAAGATGTTCCTTCAGAAAGTCAGCATTAATGGAGGGCAGGGAATCACCCTCACCCGGACTTCCTGGCCCTGTAGCGGGCATGGGCGTCCCATGGGGCTGATGGAAGCCTGGCGCGAAGTACCTATTTAATTCTGGCTCCCCACATATCTGAAAAAGGACTTTTTATTGTCCTTGATGCTCAAAGCTAGCTGGAGTTCAGTTGCAGCCTTGGCTTTCCTTCTCATCTCTTTGTTTACTTGTATAGAGCCTGAAATGACTACACATCAAAATGTTTTATTTTTGTGCTTTTTAATTGATTCTTGCATTTCATCTATTACAGACAGCTAAATTAGACTAATCTGTTATATTTTCTGGCTCAGCCTTATTATCAGAATATTTCTGCATGGATTTTGTTCAAAATACACCATGGAACTGTACTGAAATTGTAGCACTTCTCTTCAAAACATTTGCTCTAAAATACTGCTTGAAGCCAATTTCTCATTTGTAATATCTGCATTTCACTCTGAGCATATCTGCATTGGAAAAGGGTGGGGGGGTGTTCAACTTTGACAAAGTAATGTGTTAAAATGGAATTTGTCTCACTCTGCCACACTTTCTTGGAGTCATGTCCAGAAAAAATCTAGACCTATTAGCTTACTTGGCAGGGTGGTACCTGAGGGCATCTATACACATGCTCGGGGGGGGGTAGGGGTGGCTTTAATTAGAGTGGCTCTGAGAGCTGCTCTAATTAAAGCACCTGTAGCATCACATGTATTCAGTGTCCTGTGCTTCAAAATGGTAGCAGGGGCACTTTTTCTTAAAGCTCATCGAATGAGACATGGGAGGCTGCTGGAGCACAGTAATTGCCACGCTCCAGCAAACTTGATTAATCTAGTCTGCTCCAATACGCTGGAATTAGCACATCAGAGCAGCCTCACTGCTATTGTATAGGCGCCCCATGCCCTTTAGTTAATGCACATTTTCCTAGTACCTCACAATGGAGGTACTAGATTTAATGCACATTAACTAAAGCATGTTAATGCACATGTAAACGTGCCCTCTATTAGCTAACATGATTTAATTAACTTTTTAAATTCTGTTGATCACTGATCAGCAATATTGGTAATTAATATTGTTAGCTTGTGCCAATATGCTTAAAGATGTTTCTATGCTACATGGAAAAGCAAAATACTGTTTAAAAATGTTGGGTTGTTTGTAAATGCATTAACTATTTAATTGTCTAAACTGGGCCTCTGAAAGTAGGAGATAACTGAAATGTCTTAATGTGCTTTGACAACTAACACTATTTTACATACCTCATAGTACCTAAAGTAACAATGCTGTCAATACAAAATATTGTTTGAAAATCTGTTATTTTAATACCTCTTAGTTCATTCTCCCAGTGCTGGAGGGTCTTGTTGGAGAGAAAGCCAAAGTGTTAAATGTGCTGTAAAACAACCTTCACAGTAAAATGCATCTGAAAATGTGTTTTAATGGCTATGAGAACAGCAGTCTATTCAGTAGCTAGTTGGTTAGGCATAGGGATCTGTAACTCAGGAAACACAATAATTGAGCCTGCTTCTTTTTGGTGTCCCTATAAAAAACCATCAGTGATAAAGAGATAACCGAATAAGGTGATCAAGTGCTGCTGTCTAGAGAACCAGAATTCCAAAGTGTTTGTTTAAAGCCGAATCTATTTATGTGAGTTACATCTAAAACAGTAAGTCTTCCTAGGTCTGTTTTTTATTTGTAATTTCTAACAATTTAGACTTCAAATGGGAAAAGTGTTCCATGTCTACAAAGGATTGCATTGTATAATAGGATTTGGGGGAAGAGAGCACCTTGACTCTGTTTTTACTAATGTGGCTGGTTTCAGGACTGGAGGGGCTAGATCCATGCATGCTTACACATCTAAAACAGTCCTTGGACAGAACTAGTTACTGAAGTTCATCACTGATATCTTGAAAACCCTAATTTAAGCCCTGAGATGCCTAAAGTCTTTAATCATCTATGTTTCTGCCAGTAAGCTTTTGAGGGTGCCTACAGTTCTGTTTCTACACATGTCCAGAACTGCTTTCATCATGCTTGGCACCCATGTTATTCCCGAGATTGATTGGGATCCTCAAACATTACTTAGATCCACTAAGGAAATTAGCCCTGAACATTTGGGAGCAGGAACTTTCTTTCCTTGTATTAGGCAGCACCAAATATACTATCTGTGTCAAGCAGTAGTATTTATGAGCCACTAATTTATGTTTTAATACTATAATAGGTTGAAACTTGGTGGAAAAGAATGGGGTATGATATTGAGCGTTTTGTGGGCTATGTTAATGAAGGACTTCTGTGCTCCATATGCCGGGATGTTTTAGAAGATCCCTTGCAGGCTCCTTGTGAACATGCTTTCTGCACTACATGTATACATGGATGGCTTGTTCATCACAGTAACTGCCCCGAGGACAGGCAGGCACTTGATGCATCTGTGCTACACCCTCTCTACAGGTATGTAAATATTGGATAGTATGCTGAACAGTTTTTCCTAAATCTTTGCACTGCTGAAATCCTGTAACCATGGGCTTCCCAAAGCTTACATTGCAGATCTGAGTCCTGCCCATTTTCTATTATTTGGACCACTTCCCCTCCAGTTTTCTGTGGCATAACTTGCATGTGGTAGAAACTGCGATTATACGTACAGAAACATATGTACGGATTTATATACAGGGTCTTCATAAAGTCCTTGTGCACTTTTAAATTTCAATAACTTAGGTTCTAGGTATGATGGAAACAAATCTGTAAATGGCATTTAAAAGCAAATTTATTAAAATTTTAGGACAACCAAAGTACACAATGCTAGACTTCAGCATAACCACCATCCATCATGATACATTGCTCAGTACAACTTCTTGAAAACGTTTCCCAGTTGCTCTTGAGTTACTGCACTAATTGCATTGGTGATCCTAGCCCCAAGTTCCAAAGAACGTGGTTTTGACAAGTAAACTACACATTTAACAAGTGAACCAATTGCTTGGCCACCTCATTCACCTGACCTGTCACCACTGGACTTCTTTTTATGGGGACTTCTGCCTTTCCACTTCTCTGGGAAATTGTCATTTAGGAATTCGTTATTACTTATGAAGTCTAGCATTGTGTACTCTAGTTGTCCTACAACTTTAATAAATTTGCTTTTAAATGCTGTTTACAGGTTGTTTCCATCATACCTACAACCTTAGTTATTATAGTTTAAAAGTGCACAAGGACTTATGAAGACCCTGTATTAACTACTTTCACTATAGTATGATTTTTTTTTTTAAACCAGTACATTTATCTCATTACCTATTTGTACTTTTGTCTTACCTGGAGTCCTAGAATATTATTCAGAAATTGCCTTCAGACAAAAATACCAATCCACACTCTTCAAAAGAAACCAAGTGTTACAGGTTGGTCTGCTCTCTGATGGAGCAGCCAGCTCTGTTTAGCAAAATGCCCCACAGCTGAACGCCCTTACGAGGGAGTGTCCCACTGGGAGCTTAAAACTCAGGGAAGAGAGCAGAAGCGGGCAAGCTGGGAGGATCAGCTTGCAAGGAGAAGCCAGGTTGTGCTGGGGAAAAGCCAGACTAGAATGTGGCTGCTCTAATATCTGGAGAGGATGAAGGATTTTGGTTTGTTCTATTTGTATTATTAGAGACTGAAGCGTGTTTGGTGGGAACTGAACTGCCTGAGGGACTGACAACAAAGCTAACTGACTTGCAAGAAGCAGCAGGATAAAGGACTTCACACTGTGCTAGAAGCCCACGGGCAGTGCAAAGCTAGCATTCTTCTGCACCTATGTAGATTGACTTGTAATGATTAGTGTCACAAATGTGAACACAACTCAACGCTTATTAAATATCTCTTGAGAGAGAAAGTAGTTATTCAGGCATGCCTTGGGCCTCCTCTTTCAGTATAAAAACACGTTGCATTTCCACTAACTTTTTTCACCTCTTCATTTTCTACCATCCTCACCAAGAATCAGATCTTGGTACTTTAATCATGAAGTTAAAGTTCTACATGCACGATAGATAAAATACTACAATAACAATTATGTAGCACTGATTGATAGGATATGAATTAAGGGTGACAAGGCTGTGTAGCGTGGAGGACAAGAGGTGGTTTACAGGTAATTCTCACTCTGCTGATCCACACTACAATAACTAAATTAATCCACCAGTTCAGCATGGTTTAGCCTAAATCCATGTGTAAAGTACTTTTTTCTGCCTGATTCTATAATGGTTTGGCCCTTTCCAGGTAGGCCAGACAAAGTGTAGTAAAGAAATTAGGGATTATGCCAAGTGTGACAGGGCCAAGTCTCAGCATTGGCCCGCCCACCTGTCTGTATGGGGCAGTCTACCCAGTCTCACCTGCCACAACATGCTCTTTATCAAACTGGTATAAAATGCAGGAGGCTGCCCATTTTAACACCCCAATGCCAAGAGGTGCTCTACACGACTCCAACCTCCCCCTATCTTGTCTCATGCCTCGAAGATGGCATCCAGATTATTATTACAGCTCTGGTTTAAGGCTGGGCAAGGCTAGGTCCACAGTTGGGCCTCTCACACACTGCCTCATTCATACCGCCCCTCTCTCCCTAGGGATTGTTCCACACCACTCTCTCTCACCAGGCCTTTTATACAGTGCCTCTCACAACCTGCCCTGCTCCCTTGAGCGACCCCCTTGGATTACCAGGTTTAACTACTCTCATGCTGGCACTGCACACACAGCCTTTCGGATCACTTGTGTTCCCCTACTCTACATGGCATCAGCCTTGTGCCTAACACTGAACTGGCTCTGCCCGTAGCCCCTCACCAGGCAACTTTCCATATTCATATACTTGTGGGGGTTGTCCCATGTGCTGCCCTTTTAGCCATCCTTGAGCCCTACTCAACACACCCCCTGGTGCAGCCCTTCAGACCGGCCTTCAGTCCTACTCTACACCTTGCTTATGCACAGTCCTTCAGGTCGTAACAACGGCCCCTACTCTGTGCGGGCCTACCATATGTAACTGCCCCGCTCTGGGGCCACTCTCCTGCCCTCTCTCTGGACCACTCTACTGCTCCCTCCCTAGGGCTTTCAGGGTCTCACACCCCTGTGGGGCTCAGGTGTCTGAAGATGTACCTGGCCCCCATGCCTGTCCCTAAGTCTGGGTGACCAGGATGTGGGGGCCCCTCCCTGCCTTTCAGTGGGGAGGCAACTGGCCAGGCACTTCTGGGGAGCTCCCCCACCATGGGTAGCCCCACCAGGCCATCCTTCCCCAGCAGGGTGCAGTTTTCAGTCATACCTAGGACCAGGAGCCTCCTACCATCCCCGTAGCTCCTGCCCTTACCTCCAAGGATATTCTGAGCAGCAGCTCAACCAGGTGTTGCTTTTTCAGCTGCTAGCAGCAGACTGCTATCTCTTCCCTGTGGGCATAGATCTAAAATGGCTGCCTCATCAGGGCTGGCCCACAGCTGCGGGCTCCCTGCTCCCAGTCTTAAAGTGGCAGGCACCCAAAAGTGCCCTGCCACATCAAGTTCTTACAATTACATTTTGGTTTTGCCTTTGCTACATTTTTTTCCCAAATGTTCCAAACACTGTAGTTCTGCCACTGGCAGAAATGGTGTAAGCACCAGTAAGGAAAAGGGTGGGGGGGTTTTGATAATCTTGCAGCTAGGCTTAAACAGTCACTTAAAAATGAAGTTTGCCATAAGATCACAACATTTGACACAACACTTATAGTTTGGAAACATAAAATAAATTGGAAGGTGTTGCCAAAAAAGCTTTACAGAAGTTTAGCAAAGTTTATTGTATTTTATACTAAAGCAAGGATCTTCTGTTTAACTCAGCACCTTCATTTTGTATTTGCTTATCAATATGGTTTTCATGACCTTCCTGAAACGTTATGGCTCCAAATGCCCCTAATTCTTCTCAGATCTGAATGAAATCTATTTAACATCTAATTGAAATAATACAAGCTATTGCCCCTGATGGGCAATTATTTGGGTTGGAGGGCCTGTTAGGGAGGTTTGGTAAGTTGTTGCAGGCCAGGTCAATGGCCTCCGCTGTCTCCCCTGCAGCAGCTCACCAAAACTCCCTAAGTGGTCCAGGGGTGCCAGACGGAGTAAGCAGGCTGGGTCCCCATGGACCAGCAGGCAAGGCGAACTCAGCCAGATGTATGGGATAGGGCTGCAGGCAAGCAAGAACCGGCATCTGGGAGCAGGATGAGCAGGCAGGGCCAGGGCCAGGATCTCAGGGTGATGACAGCATGGGGCAGAGCTGCAATCCACTCCCTGCATGGCCCTGTGCTGTCAGCACCCTGCGATCCCAGCCCTGACCCCTTCCACCTATCCTGCTCCCAGATGCCACTCCCCACCCACCTGTGGCCCTATCCCATGCACCCAGCTGTACACATCCTGCCCATGGGGGTCCCAGCCACTCTCTGGAGTCCCAGCCCACCTGCCTGCTCTATCCAGTGCCACCCAGTGATGGGTGCGGGGCAGACAAGCTGGGGTGTCCAGGCAGTGGGTGCCAAATCTAGTGGTGACAGCAACTGTGGCAGCCAAAAGGAGCCACCACTGGGAAACAACTGCTGGGAAGTAGAGTCTGGCTGCTGTACTTCCCCAGCCCCACAGCATCTGGGGGCAGCAGAAATGGCTGCACGTACCATGGCCTAGGCTGTCCTCCACACCTGGACCAGGCGGGACTAAGGGACCCACCACAGGCTGGATAAAATCTCTTGGCGGGCCAAATCCAGCTCTCAGACTGGATTTTGCCCACCCCTGCTATAGCCTCTCTCTTAGCTAGCATTAGCATCTGTTACTTTGAATGGTGACTTACTGGTAACATTACTTCATTTGTACATTTAATTTTGCACCAAAATGTTCCATTACCATAGGTTTCCCCAACTTTTGGCCTTGTCTAATAAAGTGTGATAACTTGAATGCTAAAAATACAGAACAGAGCACTGGCCCTTTTTCCTTGTAGGAGTGAGAATCCCTGAAATGTGGCAAATATCAACTATTTTTATGGTTTTCAGCAGTTAAAAATAACTTTTTCTGTATGTAGATATATGAAAAATGACCTAAATCGACTTCAGCTTCACTGCAAAAACAGAGAACATGGCTGTGACATGGTCTGTTCTCTAGAATCTATAGACAGACATGAGAGAGAATGTGAACACGGCCAGATATCTTGCTCAAATGCTGGTGAGTAAAAGAAGCTGAGCCCTCTCTATACAGAAAAAAACTGGTGCTTGTCAAACTTCATGACAGTAGAATAGCAGCAATGGACATTCATTTGAGTTCTTAATTGTAGACCAAAAAGAAAGAACCTTTCTTTAGAAATGTGAGCAAACAGGCACTTCAGCTTGCACATTCCTGTTCAGGCACAATCTTTTCAACAAACAAAACCAAACCAAGAGCCAAAACAAAACTCAAAGAAAATAAGTTAGCACACCCAGGTCACTACAACAGTCTTCTAAACAAGGTTTATTCCTGATTTATTGTCCACAGTTGTTTCTTCTCATCTGCAAACTAGTAAGAATTAATTAGAATATTGGGCTACGTACCAATTTTTTTTTTCAATTATACTATGAAGCATAGTTTTCACTTTCTGCCAATTTACAATTTTCTTAAGCCACGTCAATTATACATGTGATGTTTGGATCAGCTGTGAACAGGCATTACATTTGTACTTAGAGAAACGTATTTCTCCTGGTACAGAAAGAGAGTGCACAGCCATTCATGAGATTTCTTGTGGAAGAGAACTAGCTGATAGCCCACCCGGGGGTGAGTTGTCAGGAAGCCCTGTGGGGACCCTGGTTTGAAAAATTCCCTTGCCCCTGCCACCAATCAACTGATTGGTGAGGGGACATTCTCCTTTTCGGAGAACCCTCCTGAATGGGTTTCCACCATAGGAGAATGCCCCCACCTCCTCCTGGACTGCTGCAGGTCAGCCCAGGGGTTGGCCCAGAGGAGTGCATGGTGTGGGAGCTATTTTGCCATGATGGAACCTGAGAAGATAGGGGAGAGGGGTTTTTCCCAGAGCTTTTCAGCAGTTGCCAAGCACCAGTTTGAGAGCCATCCCCCTTCCAAAGCAGGGAAGAGGGCAGGCTGTCAATTGATGGGCTCCTCTAAGGGTGGAGGTAGCCCAGGGAGCAGCCCTCCGGCCAGGGGGCTGGAATGCATGTACACTCCAGCTCCCAGGGGATTTTTCTAGCAGAAAGAATTTCAGAGAGACCCTTACTTGCTACCAGGAATAAACACCTGTCTATGGCCTCGGCTTTCTGACAATCTTAGTGATTTTTAGTTAGAATTACAGCATAGCTCTCTCTTAGGAGTTTCCAGATTTGTTAAAAGTTTTTTCAATAGAAGGTACAGTGAAAAACAATAATATAGTTATTAGATTTTATCAGTGTGTATGAAATAAAGCATGTGCTCCAAAGTGTTAGGCCCTGTGTTGTTTATGCTAGTACATGGGCCTCCTCCAATAAGTTCGTTTTCACTGGTACTTCAGTTTCACTGCATGTATACTTTAAGCTTTTCAAATGAAATATTGTTAAACGAATAGAACTATTTAATGAACAAAATCTCTCTCAAACCTTATGCATTTTTAAGTCATAGCATGCACAAATAGGATGGAGTATCTCATAATCTTCAACCTATTCCAAGGATTTGATCTCAGCTCCTATTACAGAAAAGTCATAGAGTGCAATAGCTGTTAAAGGACTACGAAGCTTGTGTGTCATAATTTACCCCTGGAATTGCCTGTTGCCTTGTGGCTGTCCTGCAGAAGGTTTCCTTCTCTAATTTTAAATAGGAATTCCACCTGGGACCTTAAAAAAAAATCTTCCCTGACCAATATTTCAGTAAAAAGCTCCATTTTTGACAGTATACATTTTTCATAAAAAACACATTTAAGAATTCTATGCAAAGGGTTTTGTCGCATGCGACAAACTTGTGTTTTAAGAGGCCACATTAAAGCCTATTTTATGCAACTCCACTATCTTATTACTAGAAACCTCCACTGGACAACTGACATTTTCCATTTTCATGAGTAGTAGCCAGAGTGTTTCGCTGTAGCATTATTCCATGGCCTTTCTGTTCTGTCTGTCCTTGTAAAGAATAGACCAGATAAGTAAGACAGTAGTCAAGAGCAGCATTTCTCAGCCTTTTCAGACCAGCAAACCTTATGCAGTGAAACTTTTTTTTCCCACAATTCTCATATTATAAGAGACTAAAAATGTGCACCACAACTCTTACCTCAGGCTTTGACAGTCTTGGCCAGCCCAGAGGTTTTTTTGGAAATTTGAAATTATCTTTAGAGTACTTTATTTTTAGTGTCTCAATTCCCCAAGCTGTCAACACTGGCATTTTTCTTGGTCTCCAATGATTCCTTTCTGTGGTGGAAATGTTAATTTAGAGCAACTGCTAGTATCCCTGGGCCATATTAGCGTTGCCATGAGTGAAGTTGCCTCAGTGCCTGACCAACAGTAGGAAAGTAGCTACAAGCTTAATCAAGACAATATTTTAGGGCCTTTTTTATTATTTGTGTTATCATGGGTCTCTCTCTACGCTTTAAGGGAATTGCTTTGTTGTTTGTTTTGACAGACTTGAACGTGGTCAGTTCTGTGCTTTGTGGCTTCCATGCCCATTAGGATGGTTTTTGCTAAGTTTTGGGGTGCTTCTTTGAATTTTAACTGGCTTAATTTTTAGTTTATTGCTTCCTGTTAGGTTGTCCAGTTCAGGTCGAACGACGTAACTTAGATGGCCATTTGGCACTGTGTGAATACCGGAGCCGTGAGTGTCCCAATGGTTGTGGTTACACAGTCCTCAGTACAGAAGACACACAGCATAACTGCGTCGCAGAGCTAAGAACAGAACTGGAATTGCTTCGGTATGGTTCTTTCTCTGTTTCTGGGGTGTTTATATTATTGTGGACCTAAAATTATTGCATATAATAGATAGTTTCAAGTACTAGCTCTTAATTATGATTACTGTCAATTGATATTCATTGTTCTTAATACACACACACTTTAAGCTCTTACTACTTTTTTTAGCCTAAATTATTTTGATTGGTCTATTTTTTTCATACACAGAGTTTAGAATTATTCAAAATAAATGAGTACTTGAACTAGTGAAATACTCCCTAAGAATTAGACTGAGACTGTTGAACACGTTTATTTTTTAGCTTAATATGAATAATTTGGCTTTAGGCATGTATATGTAGTTAGAGTCAATAGTTTGAAAGTCTCTAATTGTGTTCAGTAGCTCTAAATCAGCAATGAGAGGCTGGTTCTAGCTTTCACCTAAAATAAATCACAAAAGACTAATTAATACCAGCCAGCGCAAATGTTTGCACTTCTTGCCTGTTTCTCCTCTTTTCTCTGTTCTTCCTCCAGTTTAACCTTTCCATAATCTTCCACCAATTTTGTTCCTTGCCCCCTTCTCTCTTTCTCCATTGGTCAGTGGTGGTCCCTGCTCCCTTGCACTTGGCCGGTGACCCAAGTGCAATGAGAACCAGCGACCTCTCCTCATACCACGGCAATCGGGATGCTAACGTGCATACAATTCAAAGGGTTAACCTGTTAACATTAGGACTTTGGCTGCGACTGTTTAATAACTAAATTAAAATAGTTTTCTCACAATTATTGCCTTTGAGTGCCCAGCAGAAATTGACAAGAGCAAAAGATTACAGATTTCTATGGTGGCCTAGCCTCCTTGGATCAAAAGGAATGACAAACACCGACATATTCATGCCTTTTTATTTTGACAGAGTACATTACTCCTAAACTAACATACAAATAACCATCCAAAGGTCTGTTAAGCCAAACAGTCCCTCAGGCCAGCCTGAGGTAAGCACACCAGTTTCTGTAGATGCCATACTCTGCACAAGATACCAGGTACCTATTAGCAAAGTTAATCATATGTTTTTTACTAAAAAACATTAAATTAACTAAGGCTAAAAAGAGTTTAGATTCTGTAATTATTCCCGCAATGTCTTGCATACTGCTGCCCATCACCACAGGAATGAGACCCTTGGGTCTCTCTTCTCCTGATACCAGTAGTAGGATTTGAGTGTTCCATCAAAGGAAGATTGAAACCCTTGAATGTTACACACCAAGCAAGAATACTGTTGGTTGGCAAAATATACTGAAAGGCTCTTCTTGCCTCTAATCCTGAACCCCTTTAATTCAAAAGTGAAGTGACTATTTGGCTGTAGAAGGTTGTTCTGACTCTTGGAAAAAAAAATACAGGTGTACTTCCTTGGTTAAAAATGAAAACCTGGACCATTTTAGGTCAGAAATGATCTGCAGAGTGGAAGAAGCAAAGCATGAGATGGAATCTAGGTTGGATTCCCAGAGAAGACACATGGTGCAAAAGGAGAGCATGCTGCAAAATGAAATTGAGGAGCTGAAGGTAAGTGGGCACCAGAACCATTTTCTAGTGCTTTTCTTCTCCCAGAAGTCAAGGCTTGCTGCTCTTCCCAGTAAGGGAAGCTGCATTTCTTTCTTATAAGTGAAAAAAATCATCTTATATTTTAGTCATCTAAAATATGATTTTCAAAAGATTGCTGCATCTGTTTCCAGCTAAACTATTAAGGCACAAGGCATGTCAGAGTAATTCAGTTCCTGTGCTTGCACTTTAAGTATCTTATCCTGAAAAGAAACATGGGCTGTAGTGCTATGTTGCTGACTTGCATAATTGTTGGAGCTGTATTCAAACACACTTCCAAACCCCATTATAGATAAGGTCAGTTAAATAGCAAGTGAGATGACGTGTTGTAAAACCATTCATCCAGTTTTTTTTATCCGGTCACCCAAAACAAACAAAAAAACCCCTAAAAAAAAAAAACACAATCCTCAAAGCCTGGAGCAATTTAAATCTCTAATTTAAGGTTCTTAATGAATTAAAATACTGGAAGTGACTAAAAAATAAATCACAAACTTCTTTAGGATTTTGAGATACAAATCATAAGAAGCAACATTGAAATCTGCTGGTAAATCTAGAATCTGAGAGATGGTCCTATTTGAGATGAGTGCGAGAGGGCAGGAAGGAGCTGTGCTGCATTCTCCCTAGGATGAAATTTGTTGTGTCACTGAAAGTTGGAGTTAAGAATACTTTAGCTGTTCACTGTCTGTCCTCCTAGAGATGCAGAAACCATGTCAACTCCAACCATCATCGGAACTGGATTAGTTTGAGTTTTTGGATCAGTCTGTTTTATGTCTGCTTTCAGAGTCAGATGTCACGAATGATGTCTGACGTGCGCTCCCTCCTGGCAGCAGAGAGACAGCATCGTCAAGAGCTGGAGCAGGCAGAGCTTGAAAAGCGTGAATTAATGGAGTTGCTAAAAAGCCTGCAGAAAGACTGCCGACTGAACACTACTGAGGGAAACAAGAAATCCACAAACTTTCGACCTCTAACACGACTGGAGAGTATGAAACGAAAACCTAGGGAAGTTACCGTCATCTAAAAAGAAGTAAGTGCAACAACATACAAGGTTCTACTTTTTGGGAACTGCTGGCAAAATTTCTATCAATTATAAAGAATCTAAATTCTGAATGGATCCCAGAGGACAAACATCTTTATAAAGAGCAGCTCACGCACTCTGGAGACTTTGTAAATAGTCTGGAAAGATTATAGTCTGCAGGGGGAGGTTTTATGTCCATTTTTAAGTCCATCAATCAAATATTGAGCATTAAAACCTGCCTTTTTTAAAAAGTACTCTCAACCAGTATAGATATGTATCAAGAACCCTTGACTTGTAGCCTTTTCCTGAGCTGTTTGCAGTACCTTTTTTAAAAACATGGAAGTGTGAGTTTTTGAGATGTTAAAAGTGTTTGGATGTTTCACCCAAGTCTGTTAAAGCTATCATATGATCCTTTATTCTTACCTGGTTTATATATAAGCCATGATATTTCGTGACAGCCAAAATATACTTAATTTTGGGAAAAGTATTTAAATTCTTCAAAGGTGATAGGGAAAACTAACAGATTGCATATATTGTGTGTTTTCAGCAAAAATTATACGTCAGTAAAAGAATGAAGCATTAAAATGACCTTTGCTAAATTCCAGTCTCTACCTGCGTATAACATCTTAAAGTAAGGTCAATCTGGACCTGAAACTATATGACAGAGCTCCTTTAATCCCCCTAGCCTCTTGTTTAGCTTTTTCTGAAGCTGGATGATACTATAACCCAGGATAACAATGGAGGACTATTTTAGCAGTATAGTTATCTCATTGCCAAGTTGTTTAGAGTTCTCCTTTAGTTTAGAGTTTCCACCTCAAAGAAGCCCACAGATTATTTCTTTCTTTGTCCTGAATACTTGCAAGCTTTTGTATTTGACCTGGATTGTTAAAACATTGCTTACAGTTCTCTCTCACATTTCTAACACTTTTGTAAGATCTGCATTACAGGGCAAGTAATACTTAAAATCCAGTTCTGCTTATTTGTACATTTCACTACAATATCACTGCCAAAGTCTGAGATGTGTTTAGAAGTTTAAACCCTCTAAATGTGGTAGGAAAATGTAAATAACTTTAACACATATATAGCACCTGAGCATCTTCAATTTTATTTTCACAGGTATGATTAAAACTACTTGAACATTAATACAACAGACCACCATTTTATACAAAAGAAATATGGTTACATGGATTTCAGACTACTAAAATCTGGAGCTATACAACAGCAACAGTAGGATTTTATAACAGACCCACAAATCTTGACTTGTGGGGTTTCTTATATCTGAGGACTGTGAACATTTAGAACAGGAGTGGGCAATTATTTGGGCCTGCGGACCACATGAGTAGTTTTGGGGAGCTGTTGTGAGCCCGTCTGCACCCTCCCCCCGTCCCACATAACAACTCACCAAACCCAGAGCCTGCGGGCCCTGCAGCCCCTCCCTGCCATTACCACTGCCACTATTGCCCAGTAGCAGCTGAGCACACAGCTCTTGTCCAAGCCCGCCGCACACCTGCTCCAGACTTGCCCCAGCTGAATCAAGCCAGCTCCAGACCAGCCAGGACCCAAGTGCACAGCCGTTTCTGGCCCACCCTGTACCTGCTTCAGACCTGCCCTGGCCAGAGCAAACCAGCTCCAGACCAGCAGGGCTGGGGCAGCTCCTGGTTGCTGCCGCCAGCTCCGGCCCCATGGAGACCGGTAGGGTCCTGTGTGCACAGCCCCAACCCTGGCCCACCCCATGCCTGCCTTGGACCAGCCCATCCACAATGAGAAGCGGCAGCCAGGCAGAAGCTGCTGCTGGGCACAGAGGAAAAACAGCAACCCCCTCACTGCTGCCAGGCCCTTCTTTTTGCAGCTGCCCAGAGCCCACACCCAGATGCCCTGTGGCTCCTCTACTGAGACCACTGCCATGCTGGGCAGCCCAGAGGTGGTGCTGGTAACAGGGGTTAGAACTTCAGGGCAGCCTGGACATGGGATCCAGGCAGCCACAGCAAGAAGGGCCCAGCAGCAGTGAGGGGGAGGCAGCTACTTTTTCCCTTATGCCCAGCACAGATTCTACCTAGGTGCTGCCACTGTTGCTGATCAGCATGGGCGAGCCAGTCTGGAGTGGGGGCAGGATGGGCCAGGGTCAGGGCTAGGGCCGTGCACACAGGTTCCTGCCAGTCTCCCCAGGGCTGGGGCTGGTGGCGGCAACCGGAAGGAGCCGCCCCAACCCCACTGCGCACCCAGGGTAGCGGGATGTGTATTATGGGCCAAACGGATTCGGCCCATAGGTCAGATTTTTCCCCACCCCAACTTAGAAATTTACACAGCTGCAATCTAGTTACCTTGCTCTTGTTCTCTAAACTTCTCATGACTCTTGCTGCACTATTTTTTAGCACTGCTGTTAGACCATATTCTGTCTTCATACCTATGCAGTAGAATAAAAATTGGCCTGTTTTTAGTTACTAAATTTGCTAACTCTAATTGTGAACAATTCAGAAAAATATTCAGGTGACACAATCTTAAGCTAATTTTCTAATTTAGAAGACAATACCCTTATGTGCCTTGTTATTCTTTGTATTTAAATCTTTATAGCAAATGAACATAACCAAAGATTTATTTTGGAAGGTAGCCTTCTTTAGTATTTACACTACCTTTAACAGACTTACAATCACTTCTCCATCCTACCCCCTGCCCTCCAAAATTAAATGTTAAGGAATTCAGTTTATTTTATTTAGAATTCTTAGCATTTTTCTTTACTAGTGAAAAGAAAATGAAAACCTTACAAGCTCAGGGCTTCTCTACACTTCGGCACTGACTGGACAAGCTCCTTTTATGGACATTCCTATTCTGAATCTGTCTACCGGGGAGTTGTTCCTAGAATAGCCCTTCCACTTTAAATTCATGGCCTGTTTTTCTGGATTGATTTCTAAGTGTAGACAAACCCTTGGATCATACTAGTAGCCTTTTTCTAACCTGGGATCCTAGCACATTTCTTAAGCAGCTGTGTCAAAAGCAGTGTAAGATTGTAAAGCAATAGCCATACCTTTTAAAGAGCTTGGCTTGTGGAATGTGTTTACTTTGCACAGAGTGGTGCAAGCCTCCTTCAAACCTGCTGGCAAAACCCAGAGCTGCTTTTATTTTGAGCTCACCCTCTTCCACTGCCACCCATCCCCCATCTTTGTCATTGGTGGTTTTGTAGCATTAACCTAGACAGCTGTTTTTTCAGGATATGCAGTTACAGCAAACATTTAAAAAAACTACCCAGTAGAAATTTTCCTTCATCATTTAAACTGAATGAAATTGGTCTGCTAGAGTGTCACTGAAGTCAGCGTTTAAGCAGCAAGACCAGATGGATTATCCTTCCGGAAATGCACATTAGAACTGATCATTTGAACCACAATGTGTGGTTCCGACTCATAAAAATCAGGTCAGGTTCAACTTGGTGCCTGGGGGCTTTGTATAACATTTTCGTATACTACCTATTTGTATACTAAAGACTTATCAACAGAAAAAGTAGACTTCATATGTCATGGAAGCAGAATTAGCACCTGCTGTTTATTTGGAAGACTAGAATATCAACCACCTTTCCTTTAGTCAAATCTATTCATTAGATTAGTACATTTTGTTTCACTTAATCTGGTTTACTAGTGACTTTAAAGATGCACCAAAATCAGTTTGACACCTGGTCTTCCCTGGCTTTTATGCCCGACCACAACTCAAAATTCCCTCCCACACAAGCCTTCCAGAAGCTTAAAAATTCCTGTGGAATAATTAGTGAACTAGGCTAGATCTTTGTGGTCAGTAATTGCTTTCTTTATTGAAAGGTAACACTAGAATAGTCTTCATTTGATTGGTTTCAGCAGGACTTTGGAATGCCAGGGCAACTATACATGTAACAGCACACATCGGAGCAGACTCTATTAATCGAGTCTGCTGCGAGTCTACTAGAGCATGCCAGTTAGCGCGCTCCAGAAGCCTCCATATGAGTATTCAGCATCCACATTTCAAAATGGCCATGGGGGCACTTAACTAAAGCTCTTTGAACAAGCTTTAGTTCAAGTGCCCCTACTGCCATTTTGAAGCGCAGGACACTGAATACATGTGACACTGTGGGTGCTTTAATTAGAGTGGCTCTGAGTCACTTATATTGAAGCACCCCCACCTCCATCCTGGAGCATATGTATAGATGCCCCAAGAAACTGTGATCATTGAGGATCTTATGCTTAGCTTAACTGAGTTGCAGTGAAATCTGTTTGCTGGTAATATTCCCAGTTAAGCTATTTTGGTTAGGCTGATTCTAATATTTAGATAAGATGAAAATTTAGCTTAACATATATTGTATATTATCAGACATCACGAACTATACAGAAAGTTTTTTTTCCTTAGATGAAAAAGTGAATGAATGATGTAGCTAAATAACATAAAATAATAACCATAACTATTTTAGTTGGAAAATTGTGGTGTGTTTTTAATGTCTTAAAACATCATTAGGTAGTATAAGATTTTTTTTTAAGTTAAATTCCAGGCAGTTTAATAATAGTTCCTGAAATATATTAAAATAAGGAACCCTATAAATTTTGCCACATTGCTCCCTGGCTATTTTTTCATAGTTGGTAGGGTCGGAAGGGACCTAAGTAGATCACATCAAGTCTGACCCCCTGCCATGGGCAGGAAAGAGTGCCCAGCCTCCTTTTGAAGATCCCCAGGGTAGGAATGAACACCACTTCCCTTGGAAGTTGGTTCCAGCTCCTAGCTGCCCTAACTGTGAAGTAGCGCCTCCTGATATCTAGCCTGAATCTACTCTCTGTCAACTCACGGCCATTATTCCTTGTTACTCCCGGTAGTGCTCGGGGGAACAGGGACTCTCCCATAGCCTGCTGGTCCCCCTTGGCCAGTTTGTAGACGGCCACCAGATGTGATGCTTCTCTGCAGATATTGTTTAGGAGTCCAAGATGATACATACAGAGACCAAATATGACCTTTTGTTTCCATATGTACTACTTCAGTGGATCCACACCATTTATTCCTGGGAGGCACAGAGAAAACTTAAGCAGAGTTATTTTTTCAGTCAATAGGTGCCTTTTTAAATACCTGCAATTCTGTGCAACTTTCAAGCGTCTTCCAGCACTACAGTTCAGTGCCAATCTACTCAAAAAATGACACTTATTATCTTTATGAAAAGACAGAAAAGTAGGATTTTAAAAGTTGCATTTGGGAACTAAATATTATATGATAGTATCTGTAAAAGAAGCCAACGTAAGGCTTGTATCAAATTGAACTAATAAAGGTAGTTTATGTAAGATGACTTGTTCTTTTTGCTTCACTTCACTTTTCTACTATGTAAATTCTGGTGTTTTCTTTGCCTAGAGATATTCAAGTGCATTTTTCATTATTCCCAAGCTATTATGCAGGAAAACAATAGCTAAAGTATTCTTTAGGCCAGGAATAGTTGATTTGAAATAAGAATCAGACTTAAAGGGCTTTCTCTGCCTTATGAACGGGATACATTTAAGTAACAGAGCTCTTATATGATGTAGTCTTCTGCTCAAGATACGACCTTCCCTCCTCACAGAGGGGGGAGGAGTTGTTTGTATACGGCTGCTTTTAGTGGCCAGCCTCCTCCACTCTGGAGGGACAACAGAGCTCTTGAAGTGTTGCAAGCTTCAGAACGCAATAACCTGAGGGCCAAATCCTCCCTAGTCCATAATAAGTGATTCAAAACAAACAACTAATAATGAATTTGATGGCCATTGCTTGAAAAGTTCTCACTGCAAACTGCAGAATAACCAAAGCCCCTTCATCATGGTACATCTCTATTCTGTATTAACTAAACGAGCAAGTCTTTGTCCAAAGAAGAGGATGTTCCTATGGCCATAGGTCATTTGCTTAGGTATCAAAATTCATCTGTTTGGCTTTTTTGAGGCATTCTGGCTGGGTCTTGTAGTAGTCTTCGTTTACCATTTCATTCATCCCTCAGAGGACCAAATACACAGCTAAAGCATCTGCAGCATGAGGGAGGAAAATAACTGAAGTTATCTCCTCAAATGTCCATTTTCATTACATCCAAAGGTCATTCTGGCTTTTATACTGGCCACCTGCAGTTTAATTAGGGCATAAACATAGAACAAAGAATATCTGTTGCACATTGTTTTCTCTGTCAGTAAATTCAGGGTTGGTCAAGATCCCATACACACTGATATAGTTGGCAAGACACCTGGAGCTCTAAGAAAAGAGACAGGCCAACCCTGCTACTGTCTCACAAATGAACAAACTATCTTTTAGCTTTTCCAGGTTCAAAAAGCTCAGATGTCAAAGATTCCACTTGAATCAAAGCAGCATTTATGATCTAAAGGAGATAAATATGTATTTCTGCCCAGTCCTGCCCACGGCAACATTTTCTCTTGTTCTTGCTGGGTGGGTCTCGGCAGTATCCCAACCCTATTGCTTACTGAATAGTTATGAAGACCAGACCTCCCTGTCCTTTCAATGTGTGAACAGCATCTGGACAGACACTCATAAGAAAAGGAATAAAGAAACCAAACCTTTATATTGCAGGTTTAAAGGTAAGATAAACCAGTACACTAAAAGCCACTCTGATCCAACTTACCTAGTAAAATGTGGTTTTATCCAAGGGTTATTCTCCATAATGTCTGATTTAACATAATTTGGCGGTTAATATTTAAGCTAAACTCAATTCCCATCAGAAAAAAATTGGATATCAAATGTTGCTGCAAAATAGCCCCTTAAAACTGTGACAGCTTCAAAGGGACACCCAATAGGAAGAATACTACAGTAAAGCAGCATCAGTTGCACAGGCACCTTTTATAAGATTTAGACTTAAATAAGCAGAGGTGTAACTAATATTTTGGTACCCTGGGCAGCAAAGGTATATCTGGCAGTGGGGCTTTCAGCCACACAGAGCAAGTGGTGACAAGGAGCCAGTAATCGGGATCCATGATTGGAGGGGGGGGGAAGGATATGATGATCTCAGAGGTGCTACCAAAAACCATGTTGAGCCACAATATAACACCTCGAATTTGCTAGCACCCAGTGAGAGGATTAACCTCCTGGCTGCAGGGTACTGCCCCCTCCTAAATGCTCCAACTCCAGAGCTTTGAGCTGCACTGCTTCCACCCTGACTGCCGGCTCCTAGCCACTTCCTCCTGCTCCAAGCTGCTTGACCCCCCGCCCTCCCATTCCGTTGCCCCCACTTAGTGCCTGGAGCTCATTACAGTACTGTATAAGCACAGAATTGTGCCTTTTGGGGTGGTTTCCCTTTGCAAGGACATTGTCAGAAAGGGATGGACTGTGTGCGACTCAATTCCAGAACCATGTTAATAAAGAAACTGGTAGACAAGCTGCTCAGTTTTCAAGTCTGACTAATGATTTACTTAGATTTTGTTCACCTTTATCTATGACCTTTTATTGTTTCCAGTTCGAAAGTGCCGAGTGTGACATGCTGTATTTCAAACTTTCATAAAGCAAAATTGAATATTTACAAGTCTGTTCCACACTTGCAGATTTTTCTTTTCAAAGTCTCTCACTAAAAACAAATCAAACATGATCTCTGCCACAGCTTCACTTCGTAAAGTTTCTAAAAATATAGTAATAAAATCTTTCAAAACACATGGTTGAGAAGAGCCTTAGACCGCTTTACAAAATATTTATGCAATGCTCCTCCGTTTAAAAAAATAGCAACAAACCTGTAAATGCTTACTAGAATTTCACCTGTTTTAGTTATTACAATTACATTATGAGTAAAATTCCATCCTCCTTGATTTACTTGGGTATCTGTAGGTTTATTTTTGCAATTCAGGCAGCTTTAGATTCTCCTGTCCAATAATTTTCTGAAGGATGTTACTTTATAAATATTAAATACATATGAACCAATATCTACATGAACCTAAGTTATTCCGTTTAAGCCATGACCAGTTAATTAACAGATCAACCTTACCTCTCTTACAGGTCATGTTAATTAACTTTTTGCAAACAACTGATTTGATGGAATGTTGTGGGGTGTTCATACATAGTATCTCCACAAATAAGGACCCCTTTACATTTGCCTTCTCCATGGTCTCAACTAAAACTGTTAATACAAATTTAGTCAGTGGATAAAGCTAAATGGGATTTTTATGCATGGTGTTTACTTAGCCCAGAGTACATTTTGAAATACGGTTTTAAAGTCTATGACATCATGCTGGCTAAGCAAAGGATATTAAGATCACTTTAAAGTGGAACTATATAAACTAGCTGGGCATGTCCTCATTTACATTTAGATCCTTTACCATCTAAAGAGACCTATGTATAAATGAAATATTAAACTTAAAGAAAGCTAGCTACCATTGGTGAACATTTAATGTACATCTTATCTTTATAAGGCTGTAACTATTCACCTCCTAGCCTTCATGTAAGTATGCAGCAGATGTACTGAAAAACTGCATTCTTCCTTACAGGACAAAAATCCACTGGATTAAAAGGAAATACAAATACTTAATATAAAGTACAAAACAAATTCTCAGAGGAGTTCAGCATGAAAATAAATGTGACTGTGGACCTAACTATGAAGGTTTTTTTTATCATTCCTAGTTTTCACAGTTGGGGGTTTTTTTGCATTGTATCTCAATGTCAAAAATAATTATGGAAGCTAATCCAGGGGATGTATTCAACACAGCTTTCAGTTGGCTGATTCATTATAGCGTTTTTCATTTTTATTGAAGCCTGTTTTTAAACCATCTCCCCCAGTTATACAAGAGCCAGCAAGCAAGCCATTAACTCTTTCCATCCCCAAAATGCTACAGATACTTTCCTTTATGACCTCTTCTACAAGTTGCACACTTTTCCAGATGGAATGATGAGCAAATTCTTAACATAGAGACTTACAGTCATGACTTCCCTAAGGAGAGTTCCTCTTTAGGCAGTCTCTTACTCTCATGGAAGTCAATTTAAGTTTTGCCAATACTTTCAATGGTTTAGGGATATGTTTAAGAATCTAAAATTCTTATACTTAAATAGCTTTTAAATTACATGTGTAAGTTTTCTGTTCCTTCACACATCAAAAGCAATCATTTGCTATGATTTCCTCCTATTCATTAAAATATTGGTAAGATGTACTTTATTCATTTAATAACTGACCAATAGAAATACGAGCCTATAGCTTTAAACCTGAGGGGAGAAAAATCAAACTGCCTTACATACTACTGCAAAAAAATACCCACAAAGCTTACATACACACACACGCACCCTGTACCTTTCTTTTGGCACAGTGAATATTATAGAAAGAAATCCTTCAAGTCTTAACTCAAATAGGTTCCTTACTGAGTAATGTATATAGAAGTCCACAAAAAATTAAAATGTTCTTTCAAAAGGAACAAAAATATACAACTGTACACAAAAAGTCTTGAATTTTATTGAAATTTCAAGTCTTGTATCAAACAAAAACTGCTTTCTTCCAACAAAAATATTTCCTTGCTGTCTCCTGATACCAGTTACTCTAAATTGGTCCTTTAGTGCCTCAGCTTTTCTTTATCATCTGCTTAAGAAATTCACACTGCTGGGATGTTCCAGGTCTCACTTTTATCGTGTGAAGGAACGGACATGACGACCTCTTCCGCTGCCTCCACTAACAAACTTTCCTCTTGAGCCACCACTGCTGCTACTATTAGCACTCGTCCAAGATGGCCCAATTCCACCACGACCTCTAGAAGCACGATCACGGGGACTGGGTCGATAGCCTAGAAGCGAAGAAAATACAAGTATAGTACTGGCATCTAAAAAAGGTGTAAGTATGGATATAAACCCCATTGTGTTAGGGACAAAAACTGAAGACAGGGACTGTTACTTTTCTTCTTTTCACTTATTAGTCGAGCATTGTTTTGCTTTAACTAGGTCTACAATTACCATAGTGGTATTAAAACAAAAGCTACACAAATGCAAAATTCAGATACCAAGATTAAGATTTCAATTTAGCAAATACTGTAATTTTCTATATTACATTTAGTGAAAGTATTTATTAGGCCATAGTCATATATATTTTAAAAATGCACTTCATTTCAATGGCTTAATTTGTAAAGAGGAAATAATGCAGGACCTTCCAGCAGTCTGAGGACCATTTCAGTGTATTACAAAAATCAAACCATATATACCTGCAGAACTCAAAGGCCTCAATGGTGGCAGTGGGCCTCTGTTAAAATTGCTCTGACCCCCTCTACTTTCATTATAAGTGCCTCGCGGTGTACTCTGTGCACTCCAACTTGACCCTCTGGCTCCTTCACGACGACTATAATTTCCTAAATGCAAGAGACACAAAGTGGCTGAAAAAAAATGAAGATTTTTTCTGCATTTTAATCTCTGCCACATACAAGGTGAATAAAAGTTTACAATTCTTAAAATAAATATATATATATTTTTAAGTCAGACATTTTACTTACATTTTTAAACAGTATTGGTCTACAGAGTACTTTTACAGCTTTTTAGGCATTACAAAAGAAAATGGCACAGCAAATGCACCAAAGTGAGGATGGGAGTGTAAAAGGGGAGTTCTCTCTAACAATCAAACTCAGTAATAACCACTACAGGATTAAACCAAACAACTGCCCAAATGCATGGGATCTGCGATATAGTCAGATGTGTTGATCTGCTGCTACAGAAACAGGAGGTCCCTGTTGAAGTGCCAGGATAGACTGCAAGTCTGGTGAAGCTACTTCTGGAAGACAGAAGTGAGAGCCTTATGCTGTGTTAATGCATATTGCCAACAGTTTTGCAGGCAATGTGGAAGTGTAAAGGAATGCACATCTTCCCCTTTCTCTTCTCATTTTCACACTTTGAAGACTGTGAATGGATGCAATATTGTCAACTGCAAACTTAACTGTCACTGGGCATTACTTTTGTTTCCAAATTTTTAAAAAATTCTTTACATTTTGCAAGGGAATTTCTAGCCAGACTTGCTGAAAACTGCATATTTTCCTTTTGGGCTCCTGTTTTTTCTAAGACTATCTGAACTGTTGGGGGCTGAGGGAAGACAGAACACTTACGCTTCATTTGACCAAGTCCTATATCACTTCAGAGTGAGCCCACTGTATTTTTGTTAATATTATAATGCATTCTAAATGCCATTAAAAACAAGAGCACTTGACCAGAACACAAAGGTCTAGCTAAATATTTTTACAAAGATACCACCCTGACCAGAAAAGGAAAAAAAAAACCCAATTAAGCAAAGCTTTGTTTTAATTCCAGAGTAATGTAGGGACCCCTTCTCTCATGAAAACAGTCACATACGCTTTATTTCTTTTTCCCAGCTAAATCACACTGAGAATATTTAACCACCATTAAGATAGCTTGATTTATTTGAAGCTTTCTATGAAGTTTACATAGAAATAATGGAATAATATTCTTGCTGCATCTTTTACCCAAACTGGTAGTTCACATACTCCAAATCCTAAGCAAAAAAGGCAACGTACCTTTGGAAGCAGGTGGAGTAAAGAACCTGTTCTGACTGTGAAATGCGCCGCGTCCTCCACGATTCCCTGAGAATCCCCCACGTGAAGAAATTTTCTGCGATACTTTTGGTGGCCTTTTTGGTGGTGGTATCCCATCTGGAGCAACCACTTCTTTGCTCTCTGCGGCAACAAAATCGTCCACGTGCATAGAAGGAGGTCTGCTTGTATTCTGTTTTCTCTGACGAAAAATGTCATGCGGTCGAATACCCTGTCCAAATCCTCCCCTGCCTCTTCCTCGAGGAGGGGGCACAACATGTGCTCTCTTTGCAGGCTCTATGTATTCTGATTTGCCACTATTGAAGCAAAAAAAAAAAAAAAAAAAAGTTAACATGATTATTTAACTAATCAATCAGAAAATTTACTCCAGCTGAACATCAGGCATTTTCTGTAACAGTATTCAATGCAAATTGAAAAAAAAAGATTCCACAAAGCTCAACATAACAGGCCTGGCTCTTTGCAACAAGCTCTGCTGCTTCATTCACTACATTCATACCTACACAGTGGGAAGTAACCTTGAAAAAACTTTTTTGCTAGTATACAAAAAAGCGAGACTGATATTGTCATAACCCAAAGGTATGATTTTGTGCGCGCTTCGGCACCAGAATTATCCCCGCCAGGTTGCAACTTCATTGCACGGTGGAGTTTTCTGCTGCGGAGGAAAACTCCAGTGCAAGGACGAGTTTCCCGCCTATTTGCAGCTTCTTTTGCAGGGTGCATTGCTCAAGTTGCAAGAGAAATGCACGGTGCAAAAGAGTTCCCGCCACCTGCATGCAAATTTGTGTCCCTATTCCGCACGGGGCGTCTAACGATTGCCCTGTTAGCCATATAAGAGGCTTGAGCGGTTTCCGCCCAAGCCGAAGAGGACTCCACATCCATCTCGTGGGGACTCTGGGTACACGGCAGGGAAGTAAAGACCCCTGTGTGAGATTCAGAGGAGCTTGGCGACCTGATCCATCACCCACCTCTTCCCGTCTTCGAGCAGCAAATATTATAAGACGTATCTACGAGTCCGATTTTGGTGGCGCGCTCACCCAGAGCATCCGGAGCTCTGTTTCCGTGGAGCCTAGCAAACTCCACGTGACCGTCCGTGTTGTCTTTGTCTGTAACCGCAACTCAAGCAAGTTTTCCAGCCTACACCACGACTATCTTTGGTGTAAGTAAACAATCTTTAAAACTACTGCTTTGAGTCTGTGCCTAATTCTAGCTTGTCACGACTCTCTCTCCGACGCCACACCCCGCGTGCAGCACGAAAAAGGTCTCGGCTCACACCCGGCCTGCACAGATATCAAGTATCTACCAGTTCCCAGGAAGATATTTCCTTCCCTCAGCAAAATACATTAATACTATGATACAGAATCACCAGTGCTTCCTACCTTGAAGTTATGAAGGTCTCATGCTTGTGTTTTCCAAGTTTGAATCCTTTTGTAGTTTTTGTCCTACCAGGAGATGAGGGTTCTGACAAAAATGATCTCTCCAATTCTGCTTGTAAATCAAAGTCACTGCAGCCTTTCTCTGACAGTTCAATTAAGTCAACCTTTACCTGCAATAAAAGAATGCAGTTCACCTTAATGAGCATACCACTATTCCAAGAAAAGAGTAGCAGCAGCATATGACCAGCCCAGCTGGGGCCCATCAAAATACTGTACTGACCCAAATCCAAGACACCCCCCAATAATTATATCCTATACATTTAATAATGTCTAACAATTTATAAATGTGTTACAATTGTCCATGTACAGAATCTAATTATTGGAGATTCCTTTTAAATTTGCCCCCCTTCCCACTGCTGCAGCAGTGAAAACAGTGGCTAGGGGGAGCTGGCAAAGTGGCTTGTCCCCTCCCCACCACTTCTGACCCACTGCCCCACTTTCCCTCACCTAAGTGGGAGAAAAAAAAAACCCTGTCTTGGAATCAAGTAAATACAGTAGTAGGTGCTGCAGCAATTGCATATTTACTCCCATGGACCTCAGTAAGGTCAATCCCTAGGCATCAAATTTTGAAAGACAGTCTATGTATCCAAGTGGACTAGCGCTCGTGCAAGGCTTGTTCTGCCCAGACTGCAGTCTGAAAAATTCAGCATTGTGACATCTGTACAAGAGTGAGAGGAGAAAGACTCAGCAGCTGTATATGTTAACAGAAAGAAAGTAAAGCAAAGCTACGAAAAGATGAACAGGAGTCTGATGCACATTTTCCTTACAGAAACCATTTACAAAGGATATGTTTTCTTTGCTGCTCTACATGTGTATGGGTGGTGGTGATGGGGGTGTGGGTGTGATTAGAACTCTACTATTCACTTAAATACACTAATTGTTATTTTTCCCTCAATTTTAATTAAGCCTTTTACCATATCAAGCTCTGTGTCAATTTCTTCAGCCTGGAATGGTGAGAACCACATAGACTTCAGCTGGTCATCCATCACATCTGCCAACACATACGTAGTCCTGTAATGAAGAATAGCAAATACATTATTAGCCTTCAGTCAAAAATGCAAGTGTAGTGGAGCATCACGTGACTTTGGACAACTACTGTAGCAGGACTCATTCAAAGGCCTGACTTGCTATAAATACAAAGTGTACTTCTGGACTTGATAAAATATAAGCTTCAGCAAGCACAATTGTACAGTAACCAAGATTAGACTAACTACAATCTCTAGAAAACCAAAATGAAAATACACTTGAGCTCTAACTGCCTCATGTGAAATTAAATCTACAAGTTATATTTAACTTTCATCTCACTTAAGAACAAGGCAGTCTGAAAGAAAGAACAGATTTCTTTATTAAACTAGCATAAAGAAGCTACTATGGGAAACACCCTTACTTTTAGCATTCATACTGAATTCAAAATACTAGATTGATGAAATACAGGTTGTTTCCCTGAAAGAAAAAGTCACAATAGTAACAACAGTTAAACTTCACAGCATACCACAGAAAAATATATCCTGTCAAGAATGTACTAACCCATAAACTGTTTCAAAGAAACCACCCAGTGTGCAACATATTTATTATTTTACCTATTATTAAACAGATTCTGGAGAGAGTCTGGTGCAGAAAGAACTGGTTCCACATCTTGGTCGCTCAGCGGACAAGGATCGCCTGCTGATTCCAACATCTGCCGAAGTCCAACAACATTGTCCAATAAGGATTCAAGGCCATCATCTTCTTTAGAACGTTCCTGTGTCAGACCAGTCACAGAATTTAAAATACTCAATGCTGAGGACAGATGCCAGTTAAAAGAAGAAAATGCACCACAAACTATTTTTAATACTCTCAGTATGATCCATTCATGTATGTATCCTAAAATGTAAATAGACCTAGCAAGCAGGAAAAACAGCAGAGGGCACCCTAATACTCTATAAAAGAACAAGTAGTCAACTCTCGAGTCCAAAATGTCATTTATCATCTGCTGACTTGACAGTGGACCTGGAATTGGTGATCTGGACCCACTGTTGACTATATTAACAATCTAATTGCTCTAGTTTATTCCCTGTTCTTTCTACTCATCTGTTGTTTCTCGTCTTATTTTGCTATCTAAACTCAAGAGAAAGGACACCCTCAAATATGTGGGAACGGTCTCAATCTCACAGACGCCTCTCAGCATAATAAACCACCAGTAAACAGAATACATAACTAGCTAACCCAACATACACCATTCATATCAACCCTTGCCATGAATTATCATCAGCTTGCACATAAAAGCATACAGAGAGAGATCTGCTTCTTAAGGCTAAGAATAAGCTAAGAAAGCAACAAGGACTTCATTATTCAAAATCCTCTTACCAAAACATGTTTCTCCAGTTCAAGCAGAAAATTTTCAGGGTTTTCTTCTTTGTTCTGTAACAGATGTTTTAATTCTGCAGTAGTCAGACCTAATGTCCTTGCTGGATGAGATCCATCTACCTCCATAAGACTTCCATCATCTCCACAACAGCCCTGAAAAAAAGCATGACATGTCAAGTTTTTCAAAACTAAAATTAAGGTTTGTAAAAGCGCTGCAAAATCTATAGCATTCAGATATACTTTAAAGCAGAGCACCACAAAAGAAGAGAATGCAAATGGAGTTTTGTGGCTGTCTAGAGAAACATCTACCTCCTCCCAGACACAGGCATACAAAAAGAAAAAGAAAAAATACTTCAACACACACCAACACCTATGAGGAAAGGGGATTCTTTAACTCCATGTTTACGACTTTAAAATAAAAGATGTGCACAAAACACATCCTTTAGTAAAAGAAAATCAAAAGGACATGTTCAGATTCTCCCTAAAAGGGATTCCCTTGGAAATTACTGAAAACAGTTTATTGAGTATTAATAATATTTTAGGTTGCTACTTATCGCTAATTTTAGATTGTTTTTTAACTGAAGTCACCAATTTCAGAAACACCCGCAGCAGGTCTTTGTTATAACACTCAAATCTGAAGCTAGAACCCAATAATTATGCTGATCATTTTACAAACTAACTTTTAAAGGAGGGCAGCCTAAGTAATCTGTAAAAAATGTCTTAAACATGCACTTACAATTAATGCAAAATCTTTTTAAGAAACAGAAAAATCTACTGAAAATTTATCTTTTCCCCAAGCATATATTTATTTATCATTTTTTCCCACTATAGCTGCTGTCTCAAGTTAGCTGAATAATTAAATGTATAAACACCACTCAAAGTACTTTGAAATTACTTTAACAGGGCATGATAAGAAATATATACAAACTTTTTTTTCCCGATTTGGCAGTTAATGTAAAAAAGGAACACCACACTAAGAATGGAACTGAAGGGAAATATGTGAGCCAGAGTGCCAAATGAGAACTGTATGCACAAATCAAAACTGTTTTAATATTGAGGTTGAATTCAATATACATTTTTTGAAAGCTAGATGACTGCATTATACTCCTTACAGAATACAGTGGTAATTACTTTGCTGGAAAAAAGTTTGTTCCTCATTTACAGACATTTTAGCAAAATACACTGAATTTTATTAACCAATAAAGGCGGCACTAAATTAACAGTGACAAAACGTTATACCCAGAACTGCACATTGCAGTGATTTCAGAACTAATAGCTATATTTATTTTATATCAACTCTCTTACTGGAACAGAACCAGTACTTAACCAGCTGAAAAACATTTAATACATATTCACTTACCAGGGTGTCAGAGTTTAGAATCTGTCTCATAAAATCCAAAAACGAGGATGCCAGTTCTCCTGTGTCCTTACTAAAGCTGCTTACTACTCGCTTCAATACAGTGTACAGTGCACCATTGTGTTTTCTTAGAGAGCTATTACCACAAGAGAGGGAGAGAAGAGGGGACACACCCAGTGTTAATACCCCACCTTGTGATCACAGTGTTGTATTGCTTCATAAAAAGAAAAATCAGCATAAAGAAAATAATGAAGTCAACCATTTGCTACAACTTGAATATGGATAAATGATAAAACTGGAACCTATCTATTCCCTTTAGACTGAACCATTACTCTCAAGGGTCTGATTATGTGTACCTCAAGAATCGTCTCTGCAATTATATTTATTGTAGTAGTATCTAAGAAGTCTTCAAGCCTCAGGTCTAGGATATGTTTTATTAGTTTCTGTTACCACAGACCAAATCCAACAAGCAGCTCAATACCACTCTAGACAAAGAACAGAGGGACTAGGATTGGTGGTTCTCAGCCTTTTTAGTGTCACCCCATCAGTAGACTGAATACACCCCATGGAAAATAGCAGCTCTTAGTTTTCACTTGTTACTTGACTGGGGAAAAATAAGAGCAATTCTTCTGTTACAAACAACACAGCAGGTTCCAGGTTTGACCCTATGGATTCCAATTAGAAATCTCTGGGTATGAATCATGCGTAGGTATTTGCACTCCTAGTAGTGCTAATATTATGCAGCATTCTTAAAACCATCACCTCAAAAGCCTCATCACCCTGGTTGAAAAAAAAATCACTAGGCTAGATGCACAGAAGAACTCAGGGGCCTAAATCCAGCCACTTCTAAGGAGTGTAATTTTGAACGTAGTCCTTGAATGCATGATCAGCTCCTTCCTTACCATGGAGGCCCGAGCTCTGTAGGTGCCTCACATTTCAATATAAATGTTCTCCAAGCATTTAAAGTTGTTTCTGGACATCCATAACTTCTACCAGACACTGCTGGAAATAATTCTCACTCTGTTTATTCCCTAATACAATGGAGCCCCCAGTCATCTCAGAACTTCAGATACTACTTTACTATACCTTTAGATACTATTAATACAAACAAAACTATAAGAAATCTTGACATAAAAAGCAGAAGTTTGGTTTGTTAAAAACCTGTTATAACACAATACCTCTTTAAGTGACAGAATCCATAATCATGTTCTGTAAGAAACATCATTGTCCTGATGCATGTCAACAAACAATTATAGGTGCTCTCAGAATTAGCTAAGGTTTCCATCAGACAGTCACAAATTGAAGACATCAGTTCCTTGCTTGGTAAGGAATTGGAGAGCTGTTCTAGTTCAGAAACAGATCCCTCTGATGAGCTTGGTAAAATTAGTGCAATGTCCTGTGAAAAGAAAACATGACTCTTATATCTATTACACACAAGAGTGATAAACACTGACCACATATTCAGAAGATCACTTTCATTAGGAAAACTTTTGTATTTTCTTACTACCTAGTTATAAAAAACCTGAAAATACCTTGTATTTGTAAAGGCATTCAAATTAAAAGTAAATCTTTGTATTAGTTCAATTATTTCAATTAGTTCTGAAGCTGTCAGAATAGCACTTTAAGTATGTCTACACTGCAGTGGCAGCATGAACCTGAGGACACACTGCCTCCTGCTCTAGTTTGCATGTTTCAAAACCACAAACAGGCCAGCAAGACCACCTTGTGGACATCAATTTGTGGATGCTCTTGAGACTTTGGTCTCTGGTGCCTGAGAGCAACTGCCAGGGATGACCCTGGAGCATGATCACCCATATATTTCCAGGTTGCAGACAGCAACCAAGAGCAGGTAGGAGTGTTTTACCACTGACCCATCCATGTTCCCAAATATTAATGTTAACAAGCCACCCTCTTCAGCCGAGAAGATTATTCACTCTCCAATATCCATTCAATTCTAGGTGGTATCTCTAATGATCAAAAAAGGATGAAAGTGGAAAAATGTTGTTCTTATATATTATGGACACCTACTCACTAGGAAAAAGACTACAGACAAATTCATTTCAAAGAAGCCAAGAGCCACCAATGTAAATTTTCACTGTGGCATGGATCTAATCCTCTCTTTTCCAGAATATTAACAAAGACGGGGGGGGGGGGGGGGGGGGGAGAGAGAAGAAGACACCCCTCCAAGGACAAACCTCAGAGTTTGTACCCTTGAACAACCCAAATCTATGCCAGAAGGTGCTACAAAAAATCTGGGAGAACTCTCACATTAGTTTTCATCTGAAAACAGAAAGGCTGCCCTAAGCGTACAGTCAAGATCATATTAAATTCAAGACAATGACAAACAAATGCACTTTTCCAGGTGACATATGGCACAATCCCCAATTCCACAGTAGTCTAGAAGTGCATGTGCTACTGTCCCTTCTTCATGCATATGCAATCCCCAATTACGTATTAAAATATGCAGTTACTCATATTTAATTTTATACAATACCTGATCACAGAGGGACTGTAAAATGGAAGTTACATATTCAGTGCACTGCTGATGAATAACATTGTCCCCAGCAGATCGCATTAAAGCCAAGAGATCCTGGAAAACTTCCACATACTTTTCATCACCTTTAGCTGTTCCACTAATTAGATGCAAAATGGCTAATTTACAAGCTTTGTGTGAAGCCAGGGCATCAAGTAAAGCAAGTAACCGAGCAGTCTGGCCAGTGTACTGTTTCTCTTTATCTTCTGTGCTGCTGAAACAACATTAATGTACTTTAAAAATCAGTGCTCTTACATATTACAGTTAGGAAGACTTTATTTAGAGCAGTGGTTTCTCAACCTTTTCAAGGCACACCTCAGAAAGTGCCAGCTCTTAGCTTTCTCTCTTTTTTTGCATACAGAAAAATAACACCGAACAATTCTTCTGTTACAAACAACTCGAAAGGCCACACCAGGTCAGAATGTTTTCAACACTATAGATTCTTATTTGAAATCTCTGGGTTTATCTTATGAATCATGCTTGCACACTTAACAGTACTAACACTGCACCCTGTGGCACCCTTGAAAGGATCAAAAGAGACCCTGGTTAAAAAAATCAATGCTATAGAGTATAATCCTTTTCAATATAGTAGGCTTATATGTTAAAGAATTTTGAATGTTAAACAAAACCTATAGCTTGTGTACTTAGATGTTTCTATCTTCATTCGTATCCCTGGAAAGTAGGGGTGGTTGTCGTATGTAAACTGATTCAATATCTATTTAATAATAGATAATAGAACTAAGTATATATGGACAGATGTACCCTGCTCATAATTGGTTTTAACTTTTTTCCCCCCCAACAGTTCTTAAAAACACACACAAAATGTATAATGATCTAAATTAAAAAACAACACATGACTTGCTTGGTTGGCAATGCAGGGCACTGTAGTAGACTCAAGTTGAGGATTCATCCAAGTCTGTTCTTGATAAATTAAAACTTTAAACATCCATGTTATTCACTTTACAAAATCGTTGCAGAAAATGGAGGTTAAAACTTCTATGGGTATTTAAAAAAATAACTTTGTGCAAAGAACATAAAAATACCTTTGTTGATCTTCCACAATCAGATCCAAGACTGTCCTCATAATAAGAAGGGCAGTTGGTGCAGCCAAGTCACACAACTGAACACAGATACGCCTCAGCATATGCTGAATTGGCTGGCAAGATGAGCCAGAGAAAGAACGAACTATTTCTTGTAGCAGTTTGGCTTGAACATGAAGATGCATGCTCCACAGTTTTCTGGTGTTGAGTGCCACTGATATGTCATGGGGTTCAATTACCTGTGAAGGAACATAGTACTTTAAAAGAGTTATAACAGCTCATTTCAGCTAGAGAGAAAAACAAGCAGTAAGGACCAAATTCTGCCCCTCTCAGATGCTTCTGATTTAGTGATATCAGTGAGAACTGCAAACGTTGCAGGCATTTAAACCCTTATTAGAAACTAAACTAATAACCATCACAACAGACTAGGTATGTTTTGGAAACAGGTTGTAATCCCACATCAGAGCAAATGAAATCTTAAAATTAGCCCACTTATTGATATTCATTTGTTACAGATCAAAAAATGTAAAATACCATAGGAAGCCTTAATATACACTGAGAAATCAACATCTCTATGCAACTCGTTTCTACATTTAGTATTGCACATAAAAGCTGCAAGGATAATTATTAAGTAATACGGTGAAATACCAGAGTGCTAGTAGTTAAATAAGTGACGAACAATGTAAAATTGATCAGAATCAACCATTTTTTTAGAATACTCTATTATTAAACACAAAATATGCACAAGCTGATTTCTGATGAGTCATTAAATATACCTCAAAACAACCTACTTAATTAAAAATCTTTTTTATAGCTTTCAGGCCACCCTTTTATTCACGTAAAGAACATGATCCATAAGGTGGTACTTGTGACTAATTAAGCTTCTGTTTAAATTGAAATTATACCTGAGTTGTTTGCATCGGCAGTGGAAGAGGCAGCAATTCTGAAAGAAGTATAAGTCCAGAGAAAAATCCTTCAGGAATTCTCAAAATTGAAGAGAGAACCTCTTTTAGCATTAAAGACCAAGTATTATTGGCCAAGGTTTCTTCTGAAATTGTAAGTTTTTCATTAACTCCCTGGGTAAAGGTCAGTAAAATATCAATAATATCATTCTGAATTTTTTGTTCATCATTATCTAAGCGGCCTGAGAGAGGGATGGAACACAGCAACATATGTAAAGAAACAAGAGCTGAAGGAACACGCATGTCTTTAAACTCAAAAGAGCCACCTCTCAGGAGTTCAGTTAACATTGTTTTAAGGAGAGTAAGTGTACATCGGGCCATGGAAATGGTAGTAACTCTGTGAACTGTGGTTCCCATATTGACATGGAGTCTCCAAGGCTGGATAAGAATACTGTTCAATTTCTGCAAAACACGAATGAAGGTGTCCATTCCTTCAGCAGAAAAAAGCTGAATAACTGCAAGGTTCCATTTTAGATCCTTCTGTTGACCTGTAAATGGGGGAAAAAAACAAACTTTTCTGTACACCTTATCTTTTTTCAGCAATTACAGTTATATTTTAGGTGTGACTAAATTGGAGGCACTTGGAGAACTAATATTTCTGTACCAATAAATGAAGACGTATCTGTATTATACCTTCAACAGGAGGTGGTGGGCATGCAACATGACAAAGAACCCGGAGGGCAGTAGGAAGACCAACTCCTTCTGGGGTCATCAGACTATCGATATTCTTAAAATTTTAAAATTTTTAAAAAAAAAAAAAAAAAAAAAAAAAAAAAAAAAGTAAGAATATTTGTTATAAGCAATTATTTTTTTTTTTACCAAAGATACACGTGATACATTACAATAACCTGTTTAACTAGGCTGGAATCTGAAAAGCAATCATCATAATGTTATAAAAAAAGTAAACCGATTACTGATAGTTACCATGGCAAGACACTGCTTGATTGACTGACATTGACCATATTTACTTGATTCTAGGATGAGATTTTTTTCCCTAATTTACCATAGTGGGGGGGAGGTGGGGGACCCTCTTCTTAAAAGTCACATATGAGGGTAATGGTGGGGACAAGCAGCTGCTGTGGCTCAGGCTCCAGCCCTTCCCAAGGGTCAGGGCCATATCTGCTGCTACTGCCTGCCCCTGCCTCCCTGCCATCTCCCCCCTCTCCCCACGTAGCTTCAGCTCCCCCACCTTCCCCTCTCCCCCCAGCATTTACCTTTGCTCCAGTTTGGCATGCTCTGTCCACGTTTTAGCCTTGGGTACTAAGCCCAGCCCCAGCCCAACCCTGCAGCAGTGGTGTGCAGCCCACAGTTGCTACTTCATGGCTGCTAGTGGGGATGGGCTTAGGCTGTGCTCGCCGCCCCAGGCTAGAACCAGGACACAGCCTGCCAACATGAAGTAAGGGGGAGGGGTGGGGGAGCAGGCAGAGGGCAGGCACTAGCAGGGGGCAAGCTACTTGACCTCCCCACACTAACTGCACTCCCACTACTTGCCCCCCTGCAGCAGTTTTGGGGGAGATGAGATGGGGAATGAATCAAAGATGGCTGTCCAATAATTGGATTCTATATATGGAAAATTATAAAATTAGAAAGAGGGGAATTTAGAGTGAGATTTTAAAAAATATGCACGTGTGCACACACATGTTCTCTCCCTCCTTCCCCACACAAATTATTAAACAGAACATTACCACTAAATAAAATGTTGTCGGCACTTTACTAACCTGTTTAATATATTCAATGAGGTTTGGAATACAATTAATTTCAAATCTAAGATTTTTCAAAGGTTCAAGCCATTTACTAAGTTCTGAAAACAAAAAGACAAGATATTTCAGCAAACAAAATTCATATCATTACATTTTTAAATTAAAAAAAAAAAAGCCTTAAAAGTAATTAAATTCACACATAAAATATTAAGTGCACAGGTGAAATCTGTAAGACAAAGGTCATAAAAATAATCAATTTTCATTAACATACCAATGAAGAGAAAAAAAACCCCCACCACATTAAGGCAGGATATTCCCCTGATCTGCATGAACTGAGTACTACTGAATTCAAGCTAGGTGCTGAAATGATTTTTGGCATGTGACCAAAGTTGCAGCTTACTTCCTTCCAAACGCTATGTAACTGATCATCTGGAATGCAATGAAATTGGCAAAACATTTCCACTTCTGAGTCATTTTATAAGAAGTCCCTAATGAAGAAGTGTGTTTCTATAAACAATATTAAATTAGTATCTATTAGAATTTTATTCTATTAATGTTTTATACTTATTTGTAATTAGACAAATACACTTAATAAAAACCTCCCTTGGGCAATCAAGGTCCCTACTCGACCTAGTTAAAAATACATGACAGAGCCCTTCAGTCCTGAAAGAGCAGCATATTCTCCTCACGTACATACAACCACAAACAGTTAATTACAAACAAAATCCAACTCTTCCAACTCCTTAAAAAGATGTTCAAGTAAAACCTCACTCCAGGCCACCAGGGTATTCTCTGTGAAAGCTCTTCAACTCGGGATACATCCCTTCATGGTCAAGAATGGCCTAAATTGGTTAAACTGCAAGGCAGGCTGTAAAACCCAACTTATCTCAAAAGTACTTAAGGAAGCCAAGGGCTGCCAAGTAGAACAGCAAGAAGAGGAACTTTTCATTGGACTTTATAACATGGCTGGCCAGCCTGGCATTGATCCTTGTACAAGAGTCTAATCGCTGGAAAAACTGATAAATTAGAAGTTTTGCGTAGAAGGTTTTTTTTTCCATTCCCTAATAGTGCACTAAGTTTCATAAGTGCCTGGAGTTCTGGACTAAAGGCAGAAAAACACAATACAGTCAAAATAGTAGTTAACCACCGACTCTACTAATCTTGCCTTCCTAATTATTTCCAAAGAGTACAAACGTCCTGCTGTTATCTGATATTCTTGGTAATTAATATTATATAAATTATTCACTAGGAAGATTATCAAGTTGAAGATCCCTTATTAACATAAATAGGAAAAATTATATATCTTCTCAGTGACTCAACCTAATATATGGCTAAAAGGGGAATTTCATTATATACATTATCAAAACCAGATGATCATGAAGTACTAATTACTAGCATATAAAAGGTTTCTGCTATACATTCTGAACAATTTACTTGATAATAGCACATACTGTACCTTGCAATTTGGTGTTATTTTCATCAGCCTTACAAAGCTTCAACAGAGGTGCCGAGTGCTGTTCCAGCATTTGAACATCACTGGAGGACTGAACCACCAGCAAAACAAGTATGCAGGCATAATTATAAGCAACTGACTTCTTAGACTTGGAGTCACTGAAACAGATAAAGGATTTCCTTAAACAGTACATTGCCATACTGGGCATTTGAGGGATCCTCTCACCTGAACACTTAAGAATCTGCCTATAGAACTCCATCTCTATTACAGCTTCACCTAAAGAAGAAAAATAAATAATCTTGCCTACAAGTGTTTTTTGAGAAACAGATCAAAATTATACTTTGATCTCTTGATAAGGAATGAAACAACTACCCACGTGTTAATTGTGTACTTTATATATTTATTCCGGGGTTTTTTTGCAAACTTTAATACTCAGGAGAGCGGGAAACTGATAGCACAGACTAGAATCAAGTAAGTAGTGAGCACACTTTCTTATACATCTTTGTCAGTGCTATTCAATCTTTACTCCTTAAGTGACAAATTTCTCTAGAAAAAAAATACTGTAAGCTTTCAAGATTTAGAAAATATGCAATGCAGAAAAGGCGATCAGAGTGCCCAGCCCTCTGTACTTGGTTGACAGAAAAATGTTGAAGTTTAGACCAAACAGGCTACCTCTTTACTAATATTTTCTAGTTTTCTGAATTTGATCTAGAGTAAAATACCTAAACATCTTTTTGGATGACCTGAATAGTTTCTAATATGACAACTGTTAACAAATGGCACACACCTGCCATTTCTATCCTGCTATTCTACTTTGAAGACATTACTTTGAAGCAATGGCAATTTTGTAAGCTTTCTTCTGATGAATCATTTCTTTACAAAGGGAACAGCTAAGTTATAAATGTTTAAAATCAGTAAACCAAAAAAGTGAACACAAATATACAGTTACCCTAAAGCTTCCTTGGAATAGTATTCCATTAAAGTAATAAGACTTTGGAGGTTCTTCTCAAGGCTGAATACATGAGCCACAGCAGATCTTCCCACAGGATTAAAAGTAATCAGATAAAGATTATGAAGTGTTCCCAAGAGGTCCGAATGGTCTGTTTCCTCACTGGCTGTGCACCGCTGGAAGTGACAGAACAATTCCGAGATGCACTGCAACGTCTGTGTTGAATGCAAGAGCCACAAGGCAAACGTATCCTCATTAGCACTATCTGACTGGAGACCTTCTTCTTGATCTGGATCGGAAAACTGACAAAGTCCTCTTATCAACAGGTTTGTTGCTTCATACTCGGATAGGAAAAAGAGGAGACCCTTCTGTGACTGTGCCAGGAACTTCAATACATCTCTGACAGCCTGAAGTACACCAGGATGAGCACTTGTGACTGGAATGGATAGTAGCAGGGTAATACATTCCAAGAAATGGTGACTGTGAAGATATCTGTAAGAACATAAAACAAAAACAACATCTGCAATACAATCCTGATTTACAAGTTTAATATAGTATCCAATAATTTTACCAGAACCTCATCTTATGCATATTTTAAGAAACCATACCTACTTAATGATGAAGTAGCAGAATTCTGAGCTATTTTCACAAAAATGTCACTGCTATGATTATCTCCTAAAAACAAAATTCTTATTAAAAACAATAATTCGTACAATAAAAGTGTCAGAAACTTTAGCCTTGGGAATTTTGTGAATTTGAGTACCTGTAGCCTCAAACTAAACATTCTGCTACTATTAGTTCTTAAAGTTAACAATGTTTATTTAAAAAATAATGAGAAAAATGTTTAGAGTTCTCTTATCTTTTTAGTAATGAGAAACTTCAAAGACATTTTTGTAATATACAGTTCCTAAGTCCATTCATGATCTTTCTGCTACAAATGCCAGAGGTTTGATAGTGTTAGGACTGTTATGTGGGCCGTTGTCCATTGGGAACAGTGCTAAGATACTTAACTGCAAGGTCTTTCGGAGCAGAGTGGTTTTTTTTTGTAGGAGTTTATACAGCACTTAGCATAACAGTCCACTATTCAGTCCGTGATCTCATTAAGACGGCTAGGGTAGGAAACTAACAACATAACTGATTCCATTAACCAGACAGTTCTTCCTAACACTTAAAGTGATCTGTAAGCCTTCACTAATGAATGAAAGGCATCATCAGCGTAAAAAAATTTAGCAAAGCATTAGTCTCTGCTTTATGCTACTGCATCCACAAAACTGGAACAAGAAACCAGCAAACCAGACCTGTCTTACCTAAACAAGACAGGGTAAGGATCATCCCTTTCTGGGGGTCCTGTAATGCGTGCTGTTGTCGGGAAGGATTTTACAGGTGGCTGAATCATTGTATGAGGTGAAGTCTCCATCAAATGAAAGATTTCTTCTAGGAGGCTAATAAGTTTTTCCACCTCTCCTTCACTAATATTTGAAGATTCCAGAAGATGGTCCATATCCATAGGAGCCTCCACATCATTTTCATATTCTTGGTTGGTTCTCTCAAGTCCAAGGTCTGTATCCTGCTCTGACTCAGTATGATTAGGAAGGGGGGGAGTACTCTCTGCTAACTGGTCAACAAGCTTTTTAATGTCTGACAGAATCTCATAAAAGTGGCACTTCTGCAGAACTGCTGACCCTGCAGTGAGGACTCTCACCGTCTGATCTAACAGTATGAGTTCCAAGAGTTTCTGATAGCCACTTTTTTCATGTGCCTCTAGCCTACCTTTCAAGAACATATCCATTCCTTCAGTCATACTGATAACACTATCCAAAGCTTTGAAAGCATTAAGTTTAAGGGAGGATGATACATGATCTGCAAACAACAATTCAAATAGTGCATTAATAACTCCTGCCTGCAAGAGTCCCATTATTCCTTGAGTCCCACATTCTGCTAATGATGACACCAGCTTTGTTCCAGCTTTTAGCTGTCGAACGTTCAAAGCGATGGGCTGCCTGAGAGCTACCTGCAGGTTTAAAGCTTGCATGGTCCAGTCTACTAGTTGGGTAACATAGTCCTGTTTTGTGTCCTTCACTTGCAGGTAGCTTAGGCCCTTCACTATTAAACCTGGAATTTCTTCTAGAGCTGTGACCCATTTTGCACCCCTTTCCTCCTGATATAAATCCAAGAGTTCAGTTAATTTAACTGAGGCTTCGACTGCCCCCGAATTTTCCTTTTCTGCATCTTGGTCCCTTATCTTACCAACTTCAGTCTCAAATACAGTCTTGTATGGGCAGCTGAAGTACAACAGAGGTCCAAGCTCTCTTTCATAAGGCTCGTATGTCACAGGTGGCACTGAAGCCAGATCCTCAGGAGTATATTCAATATCAAAGCTTGGATACTTAAATGTTTCACGTTCCAGATCAGCAATTCCATCTTCATCACTTGAAATCTGCTCATAGCCATCATCTCCTGAAAAGAAGTTTTAGGTTTAGTTTGTTAAATAAAAAGCAATTATGTACAGATGACTAGGTTATAAAACTTCAGGAATGATTCATAGTACAAAAGTAGTACACAGACTGCTGCTTAGAAAGTATGAATTCAAAACACTGAAAATATTCTTTGCTACTATAATTAAAAAGCACTATTGTGAGGTTACTCCTTACATAGGACAGCTGCAGAACTTCCATGGAGTTGGAAGCAAAGATCCTAATTCAACTAAGATAAGAAATCCAATCATTAAATAATATTCTAGATAACATCACATAATAGCAGCAGAATCATAGTTATTCTTAAAAATCTTTGGTTCCAAAAAGCTAACATATACTAAAGATCTGCTAAAAATCTCCCTCTGGTAAACTCTACTTAGCCTTGACACTTCAGATAGTGCTATGTTGACAAAGTTAGTGGTTTCTTCCTTACCATTCACTATGTGGCTGCCATTCCACACTGGAGCTCCAACAAACCAAGAAAATACAGCAGCAGTCTAAAATGTTGCTACTCCACTGGAGAACAAAGTACAGTGACAGAAACAGGCCAGATGCACTTCAGCAAAGAAGTGCTTGGTTTCATACACGTGGCAAGTTAGGTATCAGAAAAGTAGTTAAATAACTTTTAGGACTGGAAGAAATTCTGACCAAACATTTGGGGGGGGGAGTTGCTCCCCCTTTTAAACAGAAAAAAAATGTTTGCCCTTTTCTTTCAAAAATAAAGCACCTTCCTTTCAGCATCACTGATTAAAAATAAAAAACTAAAATAAGCTTGACAGTTACTTGGGCAAAAATACTCTTTCAAAGCATAAATATCTATAGGTGCTTAACTACAAAAATTGTCACTCATAGGAACTTGCTTAAATTGGTCAGAAAATCTGAGGTAATGAATGGATTTTCCCCTCAGAATAGTCAAGGCCAGATGATTTTAGGGATCTTTTTTCTTCCTCCTGAACAAGAAAGTGGGAGATTTGCCACTTAGGCACCAATACGTAGCTAATGATGCAATCACTTCCTGAAACTGCAGGGGTTCTTGGATTATCTCATCTTTCCCTTCTCCTTTTTGTATAGTTCCACATATCCATGACAATTTAACCTAACTTCTTACCAAAATATTTGACCTTTCATCATGAAAGCACATGAGACTGTTACTGTGGGACTGCTTTGGAACACTAGATCATCAGAACTCTTTAGAAATTGTGTATGTGAGAAAATAAAAATCTCTAAATTATCATAGCAGAGGATTAATATCAGATATTTCAATATATAATAATCAATTAAGTGAACAGACATATATTTGACCTCATAAATGCCAGAATTTAAGTGTACAATATAATACCCCTTTGCAGTCACTGGCTTGGAAGAATTTGATCTTTTAAAAAAATAATAATAATTTGTGCATTATTCGCAACCATCTTCCAAGTTTTTTATAAAATCAAGATGAAGACAAGAAAAATTACTTGACCCAAAGTCACACACTGCAGTAGAGGCAGGAAGAGCCTATGTCTCTTCATTCCTGTCATCTGCTTATACTATACTATACTGCCCTCCACTTTCAAAAAATCTTGGTCATTTTTATTTTTGCATATTACCTACCTTCACCTTCCTCCTCTTCTTCCCCTTCTTCTTCCTCATCTTCCTCTTCCTCATCTTCCTCCTCCTCAGGAATACTCTCTACTGTATGCCCATCATCCTCTTCCTCATCCTCATCCTCCTCAACATCCACATCTTCCTCCTCATCCTCCCCATCTTCTGGCTGGTCCTCCTCTACTTCTCCTTCATCAGAGTACTGGCTTTCTTGGTGAATGGATGTTCGATCAGGAGAAATGGGCTCAAAGTAATCCTCCCTGTGATCAACATCATCTTCCTTTTCCCCAACCACTGGAACGATTCGAAATTAAGAAAAGAATCCTCTGATTACCAAATCCAATACTTCAGCAGTATGTTTAAGTGTTTGTAGTGGGAGTAGTGGAGATACAAAAGAATGTTTTTAAGCATTCAAATGATCTGACAAAACAACTCACCATAACTAATTAGCTCATTAAACTGTTTACATAAACAGTGTATGCGCTTTTAATTCATAACATGCAAACCCTAGATTGCTATTTGATTCTACAGTCTTTAAGCGGTCATTTAACTGCATTTCTTTTCTTAAAAGTGTATCTATGATCATCAACAAAAGCAAAAAGCTCATCTGCTGCCACAAGGTAGCACGGCAGGCTTTTTTCCCTTCTCATCACGCACAGCTGTGCAATAGACATAAAGAGAAACAGACTGACACTTGTTATACCTGATACAGGCATAGGTTCATCTTCATCATCATCAGGAGGTGGAGGGCCTGGAGGAGTCCTTGGGCCCCTGGGCTGCGGTCTTGGAGGGCTGCCATTAAACTGATCTTCTTTCTCCCCATCAACTACATTTTTGGTTTTTGAAAATGAGCATTTTAGAGGAGAGAGAGGGAAAGTACAAAGTTTTTGATTTAGATGTCACTCTTGATTAGAAAACACTCATTTATCAACTGTACTTTTGCCATGCAACACATGGACAAAAAGTGATTAAGTAATGCCCCTCCTGAAGCCACCCTGGATAAAAAAAACAACTCATTTACCAACCATTAATTCTAGGGCAGTAATTTTAAGTTAACACTACATTCCACATTTATTGTCAAGACTCATATTAGATCATAACTTAGAGCATAATATTGTAATTATTTGTATTGTTGCTTTGATAGCATCAGATAATACTATCAATTCTACCATTACTGACTAAAGCCATTTACAAACCAAACCTTAGACTGAAGCTGATTATCTACTGTACATTAGTTCTATCTTGCAGTCTGCCAGTTAAATCTCCAAACAATTCCATTCTTTAAAACTACATTAAATCCAAAATAGCAACTTGGTCAAGCTTTCTGTACAGAAGCTATTCTACTCCAAGTATGATCAATCTTTTTTTTTTAAGCAACTTGCAAGTCACAAACAGAAAGCTAAGTAGAATGGTGAAGCTTTCCTTCACTCTCTTTATCTACTCTTGGTCATTAACTCCATTTTGGAAGTAATGAGTTTGGTCACCTATCCTTCAACTAAGTCATATGAAATGCAACCTAAAAGAGTTCTTCAGTTCCTGTTTTCAGTAAATCACATTCACTTTTTCAGAAGCACTATAAAAAGAGGAACTTATTAAGAAACATTTAACCTAAATCTGTAAGAAGATTCAGTATTACTGATTTAAAAAAAAAACAACTTCAACTGGATAATTAAGTCCAATGAAGTATCTGATGTAAAGATTTCCTAGCTGCAGTTCAGAGAATATTTTAAATAAAGGAAACTCTTGATACTTTTGTTCTCATAGTTCTGATTTGCTCACCATGTTTTGGGTTTCTTTTCAAGCCAGGCTGTTGTTGGGGAGGAGGTGGTGGGGGAGGTGGCGGCGGTGGTGATTCTCTGTCATGACTTATTACTCTATCAACAGAGCCATATATTGCCAGGGTCAGGCAGTTGTACCAGCCTCTTAGAACCAATCCATCTGTGTTGACCTGATTCACAAAATAAAATACAACAATTAAAATGCAGTGGTGAGTGAAAATTCTATACTTTAAATCTTATTCAAAGAGCTCTGTAACAGTAGCCACATAAAAACACTCAAGGAAAATTAGAAAAAGGAAAACTAATGAGTTTTATACCTTTCCCTGGCTTTGAAAGAGAAAACTCAAAACATTTTTAATTACATCAAATAAGTGATTTTTACTATCCAAAACATCCAATTACAACACACTGTCAAGGCCACTCAAACCAGTTTATGAGAACTTCCCTTGGCGTGGGTAACATTGAAACATTGATCTAAATGCACCAGATGCCAAAGAGGACTGCAGAGGAAGCTTGGAAGTACACTACAAGCATTTAATATCAAGTCTGATTTACAGTTATTGTCAGCTTACTAGTACCTGTAGACTAGTAAGGAGTGAAAAATAAAGACCAGGCCTTTCAACATCCTTTGTTGTTTACACCAGGGGTACACAGCCTCCAGCCCATGAGCCAAATCCAGCCAATTGGGATCCACATGGATTAGGGCTGAGCCCACCCACATCCAGATCAGGCTGCGATGCTCCACCTGCCACTCCTCCCCACCACCCCCTAAACATCTAGATTTGTTTTAGTGTTTTTAAGATAGGTAGAAAAGAACTGATTACGAGATTCTAATACAGGGTGACACTCTTCCCAGATACAGCAACCGTATCTCACTATCCTTTGGTTTTTATCACTCAGTCTTACCAACTGAGTTGAACATCTACTAGGGTGATGTCATCCATCTGATGCTCACTGTAATCCTGATAGGCACTGCCAAGAAGTCAGCCCTTTTGAAAACCATATCACTTAGGGTAGGGACAGATGTAACATTTAAAGCAGTAAAACACTACCAGATATTAAAGGGCTGAGCCCTCCTTTGTCATGCTCTGTACAGCATGCATGTGTAACAGGATGCACTTCATTTGAAGAGCTTCCAAATAGTAATTGTTTTCTTCAGAATTATTTTTGGAGCACTTCTGCCGTTTTCAAAACATTTCAAAGGGCATTTACATCCATTTGCTTGCCCTCTGACATATTTTAAATACATATGAAGTTATTCAAGTGTTATGTCTGTCCACACCCTTACAAGGACTCTAACTTTAGGCTTTAACTTTTAAAGCACTGGCCCTAGTGTATTACCCAACTGAGCTGTATAGATTCGTTTAGAATAAGCATATTAGAGATAGATCTAACACTATGACTATTTTGTACAATGCTAAGCACATTTAATAGCATGCCAAAGCTATTAAATAGCATCCAGACAGGAAAGAAAAAAGGTTCAAATCACAGCAGAAATAAGACATAATTACCTTTGCATTGGGTCTAAAAATAATTGAAGTGTTCTCATCGTATTCAAGGCTGTTAAACAGAACACACATGCTTATTTTTCATTTATTTTTCAAAATCTCTTTACACAATCTTAAGTCCTAATGTTTCTATATATCACTTGTATTAATACTTCACGATCATCTTAAGTGAAAGAGGCAGACTCCAAGTCAAAATGTTGTACAATGTATATGCTCATCAATTTAAGAATGCAAAAAGCCCAACATACATTACCATATATGGGTAATATATGCTGACATTAAAGGGAGTGTCAATTTAAGAACAAAAGATGATGGGGAGGTAGGGAACTGTGGGAAAGCATCAGGAAGCAGGAATAGGCAGGCCAGAATGCAGATGGCATGCCCTACAATCCTCAGTCCCATATATACTTTGGAATGGATCAATTGGATAATAAAGCTTTAGAAAAGTTAAACTATTCCAAGAAATTTTGAGAACATCCAGTGATGAAGCTGGGTCACAGTGGAGGACAGGGAAGTGAAGCAAGTTTGCCTGCATAAAATCTCTTATTAACAGTATTGATTATGAAACAGTGTTTGCAAGAATAAGCTATGCCAACCATACTACTTTATATTCTAACTAGACAATGCAACTATGCATGCTATTTTATATTATAACCTGTAACATCTTTACTATAAGATCCTACAGCTTTATTTAAGAAAATAAAGAAAATCCTCATCTATGTATAAAGTAATTTTGAAAGTACTTGCCTTCCCAGTCTGTCAAAAACAGGAGCACTTGGCTTGCTGACATTGTTGAAAAACAGGTCTAACTGAAATGTATGTGGAGACGTCTCTCTGTAAATAGAACACAGGTAAAAATTAAACCTGTCAAACTTCAGTTAAGCAAAATAAAACGGGACACACAAGTCCTAAAATCCAAGATTCTCATTTGAAAAAAACCGAAAGAAAAATCTTACATATTCAGTGCATGCATAAACTTAAGACAGCTTGGTAGACTGCAAAACAAGTCCCAGACAAGAGGGATAATATACTTGAATCTTTCTGATTTGTACTGCCTTACACTTACCCATAGGCCCTGTTGTCAGGCAAACTGGTGTGAGCTCTTACTCCGGGAGGAATGACACGTACTTCATTTATGTAAACAACACATGGAAAACGAACGACATCTATATTGGTACTTTGCTGAAAACAAAACAACAAACCAAACATTAAACAGTTTTAAAAATGCATTCTTGATTTCAATTTATATTTAAAACTGATATACTCTCAATAAAAAGCGTACCTAACATTATTACTGTCTACCATTTTTTAACATCTAGAAAATGGAATTTAATACAAGACAGGTGCCCATATCTCTCACACTGCCATTATAATTAATATTACTATAGGAATTCTGGGCAGAAAAAAGTAAAATGAGCATGGATTCTCTAAACAGGACCCTGTTCACACTGGAAACACTAGTTTATGAAGAAATTGTTTATAGAATATTTTTGGTTCAACAACTGTGCTATGACTGAAGGAGGAACAACACTATTCAAATGTTTTTAAGACCTATTTGAAATAGGGGTGCACCGATAAAGATTTTCTTGGCTTATACCAATAACTAATATTTAGTAATAAAGCTAGTCGAACAAGCTTTAGTTCAAGTGCCCCCACCGCCATTTTTAAGCATGGGGGCGCTAATACAGGAGACATGGCAGTACATTAATTAGAGCGGCTCTTGGAGCAGTTCTAATTAAAGCACTGCCCCCCCCCCCCCTCCCAGGAGCTCCTAGAGCACATGTAAAAGTACCCCATGACAGTTGCAGCCCCTGCCCTTTAACCCCCTGCACCTGAGGCTGCCCCAGACTGTGTGGTCTCTGGGTCAAGCTCCGCGCTGTGGGGAGGACCTTGCTGCACACAGCAGGGGAAGCAACTGCCCCAGCCCCTGTCAGGCTTTGCCCCCGGTCCCTGGAGTTCAGACCCACGGGCACTGCAGGTTGAGTCAAGCCAGGCCAAGCGGAGCAGCTCAGCTGCACCCACCCCTCCCTGCCCCAGCCACATCTGCAGCATTTGGTGCTTTTACAGCGCCTGCCCCGAGCCTGGCCCTGGCCCAAGCCCGTCACGCCAGCACTCAGCACTCCACACCAGCTGCTAAGCTCCAGCCTGGCCTGGCCCACCAGTGAGGAGATGGGGGTATATCTGGGGTCACCCTGGCTTGTGGGAGGGAACCCAGGCATCCAGGAGCCTTGGCCCCACAGACAAGTGAAAATCCAGGTGTCTGCCTTCTGGCCTGTGCCCCAATACTGAAGAAGGCACTCCAGAAGGCATTACTGGAGAACTTTATTAGCTACAACAGCCAAAAAAAGCCAGCAGCCGATAACGTCAATTTCCCTATTATCGGTGCCGATCCAACAGGCAACCAATATACCTCTAATATGAAATTAAGAAATGATTTTTTACCAGATGTTTTGAAAAGTTCGCACTAACACAAGTGCCACGAAACCAATTTTTGAAAATGGTCACTGGCTCCCTAAAACAAGTTTCTATAATGTACAAGGAACCTTTAGATAAGCATTGTCAATCCATGAGTCGCAACCCAAAAGTGGGTCACAAGAATATATGAAAGGGTCATGAACAAACTTTTAAAGTAGATTCTCCTTTAAAAGGACAAAAATGTGGGAAATTCTGGCTTTTCCCTGTCAGGCTGGCAGAGTTCCCCCCACCCCCTGCTCCACACACTGTGGGGCTGGGAGACAGCAGGTCAGAACCCGCCGTCAACGTTTACAAATAGGTCCTGGTATAAAAAAAGTTGAGAACCACTGCTTTAGATCAACCCTACAGACCTATCCTGTACTCAGTTGCATAATAAAGAACCTCACTCTCAAGGACTGTCAAGTTCGATGCCTGTCACATAACAGAGTTAAACAAACTAAGATACTTGTCTTTGACCAGGGTGTGAAAGATACCATCCACAAAGCCCTATCATATGGCCCCCAATGCTGTCTCTGGTTCTAAACTGACCCACATGCTCCACCTTCCAGCCCATCTAGGATCCCCGCTGCAGGCGGCACCCTGCTACCCTCAGCCAGGACACACTGCACCTGCAGCAAGAGCTCCAGCCAGTCCAGGACACACAGTGTATGTGGCAATACAAGTCCTGGACCAGCCAGGGGTAGTGACGCTGCATGCAGCACAGTCCCAGACTGATGGTAGGGAGAGAGGAGGAGTGTGCTGGAAGAGGAACTTGTAAAGATGTTTGCTCTGCAGAATTTTCCTTTACTTTAAACAAATGCATGACACATTCACACTTCATCTAATCCTGTCACTTCTGCGAACACTGTGGGGGTATGCCTCTTTCAGTCCACCAAAGCACGTGCATGTGCTTATGCATAAGCATATATACAAACTATGTACATATCCTTACACACTCCTATTGAATTTCATATACTCACATGCTTAAAGCAAATCAGAACCAACAGCACAATTTATAATGCACATAGGATTCATGAAATGACATGCATTTTGTGCACTGGATTAAATTCATATATTTTATAGCATATGCAAAGCACAGTTTGGAACACATGGAGCCTCGACTTGTTCTTTGGGCACACAAAGCCTATCTTCACAAAAGAAGCTACTGACATGCTAAAAACTACATATTAGGGGGAAGACGAAATGGATGAAATCTAATGTTTAAAAGGTACATGAGTTAGCCAAATAAATATTTCTCATTTGAATATTAAGCAGCTCTTCTGAATGAGTACTACTTGCAAATCAAGTACCACAGCCCATTTTGGCTGTAGGAGTTACTGGGGAAAGGAAGAAAATGCAGTTTTTACTTGTTATTACAAAATAAAGTATTTTATTTTACTCTCCTCTTAATTAAAAACACCTGAACCCTTTTGGCATAAACAGATTTTTTTTCAACTTGAACACTGTAGACATCAGGCACAAAAAACCTACATGCCCAAGGGCAAAAGCATCAAAGCTGTAAACCACTAAAAACTCTGGATAAGATTCTATTTTGTGCCTGTAGGAAATGGTGCAAAACATGCACTGTGGACACGTGAAAATGTTGGGCGAGGCCAAACACAGCTTTAAGCCCCTTGTGGGTATTCCCAACCCTAAGCTGCTCTCGGAAGTTCAGGAATCTCCCCACCTCCCTTCAGTAACTTTGGTTTGTCCTTACAACACTGTTAGCTCCAGGTATAAAGCCGAGTCTTACACCACAGCCTGCTGCTCTTGTCCAGACAATTCTCTCACTTAAGTTAAACAGTGCTTTACACTTCACCTGGTAACACAGTACCTCAGGTTATGCTACCTCAGACATCTGTTTATTCATTCATGCTGTAAACTTGGAGTGTTGATTTAGCTAGACTCAAGTGCAGTAATTGATGTGGTAATGCAAGACTGCTGCAGCAAATATCTTTCTACAGCAGGGGCAAGCAAAATATGGCCCACAGACTGAATCTGGCCTGTGCCTTCCCCTGCAGCACTCCACATAGGAACAAGTCCTGATCAAGGCTGGCTGTCCCACACACACCTGCCCACGGCTGCCAATGGCACCACCACAGCCAGCACACAAGATTCCCAGCAGGGCTGCTCCTGCAGCAGCCTGGGTACAGCTCAGCTCCCCCCGCCCCTCTCAGCAGCTCTTCCTCCTCCTGCCCCTGCTGTGCTGCTCCAGGTTGGAGGGGGCGACAGAAAGCTACAGCCAGCAGTTCCTGCTCCAGGGTGTGCAGCTCCTGGCCACCTTCCACCCACTCGGAAAGCAGCTGGAAGCTAGGAGCTGGAGCCGACTGGCTGCAGCTTCGCTAACTAGAGCTGGAGCTGCCCGGCTGCAGCTTCCCTCCCCCCACACCGGCACAGCAGGGGTAAAAAGAGAATGAGCTGCTAGATGCAGGGGGAGCCAAGCAGCAGCCAGACAGCTGCAGCAGCAGCGGGAGCAGCCCCACCAGGAAACAGAACTGGCAGGGACTGGGACCAGGCTGTCAGCAGACACAGGATGAGTACAGGCAGGACTCAGCCCCATGCAGAGCACACTGTGAGGGCAGCCATGGGCTGAGTGGGGGCAGATCACCTGCACCACCCAGGTGAGCTCTACTACTACACACAAACTCTGCCCCCCCACCCCTCGGGCCTGCTCTGGGGACCTAGTGTGTGGGCAGCCACCCCGCCCCACTACACAAAAGTAAGACTATTTTGAGCTACTATGCAATTGCCTCTATATACACTACTCAAAAAAAAAAAAAAAAAAAAAAATCAGGACAAAAATAAAATTAACATTTCATAGTAGATGTTTGATTTGTATTATATGATCTGTTTTTATCTATTAATTTGTTAAAATCACACCATCTGAAAGATTTTGTATGTGTAGCCCTCAACAGCTCACCAGAACTTGTTAGGTAGCCCACTAGCCAAAATAATTGCCCACTTCTGTTCTATGGCCTTGTCTACATTATGGAACTACTACTCCTAAATCGGCTAGCAAAGCTGCACTGGCAGAACCCCTTAGGGCAGCAGGGGCCAACCATATCTGGCAGGCATCACACAGATTAGCTCCACACCCTTTCCAAGTACCACTCCAATCTCCTTCTCCTGCCCAATACGCTACTCTACTTTCTGCTCCCTGACTAATCTGCTGCTCTTTCAACTTCCTGATCTATTTGCCACTGTGTCACCTGTCCCCACCGCCATATGCTACTGTGCCACATACAGGCTGCCACATCACCTGCGGTATGCATGCTGCAGTTCAGCCACCCCAGACTTGACAGATGCCAGCAGAAGTTCTTCTGCTAGCACAACTGTACTGCCACCCCAAACAATACAGGTCAACCCAAAAACAGCCATTTTCTGTTGTCACAGCAGCATCCACACCAGCATTAGAAATGGGTGCGATCTATGTACACCTCTAACTGACATTTCTATACTACAATGTTCACACACATTCATACAATGCACAGTTAAAGCTTAAGTTATGTCAGACCCTCTAAGGGTTTTCAAGACAGCACAAAATTGAGAAGGGTTCGATTTTTATTGACCTAAATTTTCATGATTGCATGAAGTTAGAGGTGTGGGAGCAGACAATTTAGTAATGACAGTATATTGTTAAAAGCTTTACAAAAATCACCTCACCATCTAAAAAGTAAATATTCATAAATCAATAAACCACCTGCTTTAAAGCATTCTGTTCATTCATC